CGGTCCTGACTGCCGAGCATGACCCACATGTCAGACGGGATATCGGGAGGCCTTTTGGATCCGGCCTTCCTACGGACGAGCCGAACCCCATCCCACACATAGCCATCAGGTACTGGTGACCCATCAGGCATTATGCTCGGGTCGAATGCACCGCCTTTGTCGGGCACGACAGGCTTGGTCTTCGCTTCGGATTTCTCCGATGCGGCGGGTTCCTCGATGTGGGCTTGCCCACGCTCCAACGGCACAGGATCATCTCGTGTCCTAGCACTGGCAACAGGTGGATGAGATGCAGGGTCTTTCAACAACCTCATCGGGAAGATGAACTCATCAGTCGGAAGCTCAATGCGCTTTGTTCGCTGTACCGTGAGGGACGCATGTTCGATATGGTAATCGAGCCCTTCTAGTTTTGCAACGAGGAACTCACCCTTCCATGCGAACCCAGGCTGAATGTGGTACCCGAGAAACACGCCTTCATTAGATGTTGGCGAAGTCTTGCCTGCCTGATTGTCAGCTCGTGCAGGGTTATTCCAGAACAGTATCTTTGCTCCGAAAGGTATCTCAGCTTCATCAAAGGTCTTGTTAAACCTGAGGTACCATGGCGAATCGTTTCCATTCAACTGTGGCAGGATGTTGGTCGCAACTGCATTGTGCTGGATAGCAAATGGCCACATCGACAGTGGGAACCCTGACTGAACAAGGTTCGCACGTGCTCCCTCCAACAGATGTCTGATTTCTCTTTCCACGAAGGATTTGGAGGAGTCAACATATTCAATGGAGGTCTGATGACGATACCCCAACTGCTCTATTGCGGCTTTCAATTCCCGGGAGTTATCGGTGTAGAGAACTTCAACCTCATCCCTACCGGAAATGAAATGCTGGATCCCTGCAACGGATTGCTCCGTGCTTTTGCTGGTCGATGGGTAAACGTACCTGAACTGCGTATGCACGTCCTTGATCACAAGAGCACACCATTCGCCTTTGATACCTTGCTCGATGTTGGTCTTGAGGATCACATGATCAGCAATGATGTGATCTCCAAACGCTTTCGTTTCGAGCCTTCCCTGCCCACCTTTCGATCTCGCATATGGGGCAAGCATCTTGGCACGTTGGCAAGTGCGGCAAAAGGGATTCTTCGGATAGTGTGCAAACAAGTGCTCTTTGGTACTCGCTTCGGCAACCAGATCTTCCTCTTTGCGGGATCTCACAAACCGCTCAACTTCGTCGTCGGGATCATCACCTTCGTCGATGCCTTCGTCATGAACCGGAGCAGGCGCTGGCTTGGGTGCTGCTACTGCACTCAACGATGGCTCAGCTTCACAACTTGAGTCCATGTATGGCACATGACCGTCAACCTTGAGCTGGATCAGAGCACCATCAGGGCGAATCATGGTTGGTGCCTTTCCGGATTCCCAATGAAAGGAATATCCTTGATCCAGACACTTCACACCCAGCGACAGCACTGCGGGAGAACTCTCGAGGATGTAAGGCTGAGCAGGCTCACACAATGCATCGACATTGATGTCGGCGATTTCGGAAGCAGTGATGTTTCCGTTTGCAGTCACAAGGCGAATGGGCTGCGGGGCCTGTTTTCGGATTGCCTTGGACGCATTCCTCAGCGCAGCTTTGCTGATGAGGTCCTGCTCACTACCGGAATCAATGAGCCACACATCCTTTCCCTTTGGGGCGGGGGTGGCTGCCCTTGGCGCTTCAACATCCTTGCGAACATCGTGAGGCGGCATGGCAACTCTCAGGCACTCATCACACGATAGGCTTGAGATGGAATCGGATTCCACATCGCACATGAAACCGCAAGCGGGCTGGGCTCCATTCTCCATGGCTTTGACTACGGCATTCAACTGATTCGCGGCCTTGCGCGCTGCCTTGTTAGTCCCTTTGGTCGGCCTGGGGCAGTCCTTGGCACTTGGAAACATCCTATTGTACTGACGTTCCTCATACTCAAGCTTGAAACCATCGCCTTCGGCGGGGATCTCATGAACATGAGCATTGGTGTCGAATGACACTCCGATTGGATCGATCGGCTTTGCGAACATGGCGTACCTGGTGCAGACTGCAGCGGCTTTGGCCTTGGGCTTAGGCTTAGGTGAATTTGCACGCTTCTTAGCCGCAGGATTTGCATTGGCCTCGCTGCTCGATGCCGCGGCGGCAGATTTGCCGCCCGTGGAGGCATGGCTAAACTTGCATTTGTCACCTCTAGTGCACTTCCCTTGGGCAAAGAAAGAACACGGTGCTTTCTCTCCTTTACCGCCTTTGGGGGAACTTGGCCTGCCACGGGTCGCTGAGCGTCCTCGCGGCTCCTTGCGGTGCGCGTAAGGGCAGTTTGCCCCCCTCGTGCACGAGCCCTTCTGGAAGTCAAAACAGTACTTCTCCTCGGTGTCCTTCGGCTTAGGTGCGCTCTTTTTCTTGGGGTCCCTCTTTTCAGGGGCGGCAGCACCAGCCTTGGGCGTCGGGGCTTTACTGGCATTGACCTTGGACACGCGCTCTCGGTTCTCGCGGAGCCTATCCCTCTCGATTAGATCCCTCATGCAACGCATTAGGAAATCGTACGATTTATTGGGATCATCATCACGGCAACGATCATATGTGTCAATGTCATACCGCAACAGATGGCAGCTTCTCACTTGGCGAAGCAAGATGTCTTTCAACACCTTCTCTTCCGGCGGCCTTTTCATGCCGGCGATCACGGAATCCCAAGCGTTCAGGAAACGCTTGAGATCAATGATTCCTTCGCCGTGTCGCGAGACACGCAACAGATCCTCCAAGGAGTAGAGGTTTCCGGCTTCTTCACTGGTCTTGAAATATTGGTCAAACATAAACAAGACCTGCCTTCCTCTCATGGCCTTTCCCTCCTTGGCACATTCTTCCTTTGCTGTTAGGATTCGCTGAGCCAGATCGCCTTTCGCGGAACGCGTGAGCGCTGCGAGAATCTTCGTGCCTAGTGTCACGAATTTTCCCGGTTCGCCGAGCTCCTCCAACAGCTTCTTCTTGTCCTCGCGATCAGACCAGACTTCCATGATCCAAGGCCAAGCCTCGTCTGGACGGTCAGATGCAGCGCGGACGTCCTCACGAACCGATGTCTTCCATTCACGGTACGTTTCAGGAGTTGGCATCTCCTTGAACCGCAACGTCTCGCTTTCACGAGTTCTGGGTTTTTCATCGTTCGTGTGGCCTTTTACTAACTTCATCAACATTTTGGCGAATGCTTCTTGGCCGAGGTTAGGCCCGAGGCCATCACCTTCGTCTTCATCACCATCGCCATCGCCATCATCATCAGGTGGCGGACCGCCGGGAGGCTTACCACCCTGCTTGCGGTCAGTTGACATTGGCCCCTGAGAGAATTGCAGGGGCGGGACCGGTGCACTTGTTTTCACCGGGGATCGGCTGCTACCTGATGGCTTTTCAGCTGGTCCTTGCGGATCGCGAGCATCTGCGGGCAGTGCTTCGCATTCGGCAGTTGGAATCACGCTAGGGGTATATTCATCCCCGTAACCGTCATAGGTAACAAGCGACCTCAGCTTTTCCTTTGCATATTGAAACGGATGGGTCAACGGGTCCAACATTGACCTTTGGGACCGAGCTGACTTCATGTCGTCGGTCATCAACTCTGGTGAATCCTCTCGGGTATCACCTACCCCTTTGGGCTTCGATCCATCCTCGCGGAGGTCGTGTTGCTTCTGATACTTCTTCAGCTCATCGAGCTCGTCCTGCAGAAGCCCGTTTTGGTGGGCCATCATGTCAACCGTTCTGGCGTGTGTAGCCTCGACACGGGCTGTGTCATCGGCATGCTTGGCAGCTTGCTCATGGAGGAGCTGCTGGGCTTCCGCCAGGGTGGATTCGATGGCTTGCCTAAACTCAGTTGTTTTGCGTCCCATTTCCGCTTCATGCAATGCTTGGGCATTTTCCTCACACACTTGGCTTATCCTAGCTTCAGCGAAGTTCACTTCTTGCATGAACTCATCGCTCACTCGCTGTTCGTATTCACGAATCCTATGCGACTGGGCTTGCACACATTCAGCGTAGTGTGCATGCAGCTGATTCTGTGCGGCACGGAGCTCCTCACGGTTTTCCGCTTGCAAATGCGTAACAGCTGCTTGATGCAGGGCTTCGGCTTCAGACCTAATGGCTGCATCATTCCCAAAAGCAAAGATTGCGGTATTGTACAGTTGAAGGGAATTCATCAGGGTGCGGTTGTATTGCGCATTAGCGCTTGATGCGAACATTCGCACACCGCCGCCGGTGGCGTTGCCGGAGCTAGCTCCGGCAGCATCCACAGGCATGCTGGATCCATCAACTGGCACAAGGGAACCGTCCATTGCTTAGAGCTAGGGGCCTACGGCTGATAACCTATAGATTCAAGGGTTATCGGTTTGGGGCCCAAAAGGAAACAACAAACCGTCCAAGTGCGCTGCTCGCACATTTTCACGCTTGAACAGCCACACTGCGGATGCAATGGATGTAAAACCCCAAACTGACCGATCTAATTCTTCAATTGCAACTTGCCAGGTGCGCGTCCACAATGCATAAATATGGAAGCCATTTTCGTGTGCTCGGGACTGACCACAGTGGGCAACCATTTGGGGGGAATGATCCATGTAGTACATGGATCATTCCACCCAAATGGTTGCACTGCATGATGGTGGGCCAAAGGATGGACCTGCAACGTCGTGCCCAGGCTTTACAAAACAACAAGCCATTCGAGAATGGGCGATCCTTCCCAAATCAAGTCATCACAATCCAGCGATTGCTGATCACGGACCCGGCCGAATTTCGCTCGCCTCACTTTTGCCAGGCTTCAGCATTTTCTTGCTGGTGATCAGCAGGGAATGCGGGAATGACCCCCACAAACATCCATAAACCATCCCGTCTGGCTGCCTCGAAGGGAATGCCCGGGTTCATTCGATTTCTCATTCCCTACCTATCGCACCTGCAAGTTGTGTGCTCCCCATTCCTCCGGCCGATAAGGAAAGAACCGGCCGGGCCACACTTCACCACGCCCCGCGGGTCGTTCATCACATTCTGCACCCCATACTTCGGCCGGTGGAAGCCCGTGGCGCCATCCTTAAGGCGCGGCGAGCTTGGCGTTTCCGCTGCATGGCAGAGCTGAAACCCGCGCCATCCTGTTTACCAAACTCGCCATCATGGTTCTTATCCACTTACTAGGTGCCCCTTAAAGTATCCAACCAAACGCGCCAAATGTCACCCCCACCCACCCACCCACCCACCCACCCACACCCACCCACATGATCATGCCCTTCTGATTTGGACGTGTGGGAGGGGGGGGGGGCGAGAGCTGCGCGATGGCCGATGGCTGACCTTTCAAAAGCCACGACTGACAACTCCCGCAACCTCGGCTGATGTTTTTTCTTCCATTTCGCCTCCCACGAATTCTCACCGAACCTGACGTTTCGGGGCCCTGGTTTGCACCATTTTCCTTTCCAAGGGACCTCTTATCAGCTTCTATGCTTGGCGGGGGGTCGACTTGGCCTTCTTTCAGGCTCCTTCTGCTTGGCTCCCCGGGTCGCCCTCGATTCTGCCGCCGCGGTCGACTTCTTTTGTCAGGCCGAAGCGGCATAGCAGCCCCCGAAGAGGTCGCGCTCCCACTTCTCGCGGGTGGCGGGCTTCAGGAGGCCTCGCCGGTGGTTTTTTTGATGGGGTCGATGATCGGTCGAGCGCTGGGGGCACCACCCGAGCGCGAATTTAATCACTGCACTTCATCTGCTCCCCACTGATGAAACGCTGGTGGTAGCTTAGCCTTCCCTCGCGTAGAAATTTACCCTCTTTCAAAGGCGGCAGTGAGAGCCGTCCAATTGCCAAGTGGGGCAGAGCACCTCCACAGCAAAGCAAGACTCTCAATTGCCCCCAACCTCCAGAGGTTTGCGTCTCGAACTGGTTCCTGTAGTGCGTGTCCTGGCCAATCTGTCAAACCCATCGACCACATGCAGATCAACACACTCCGCTCGCTGTTTTGCCCGGCGCCAGTGCCAAAGGACTCTCTCTGCATGGCCCATCACGCCAGCTCATCTCTGAAGAGGACATATGCTATGCTCAGGGTGGGTCCTGGTCGCAGTTGCGAAACCGTGACACTGGCCGTCCTGCGTCCCCCCATTCAGGGTCCTCAGAAACGAGTGACCTTGGCACACATGCTCTTCCTGCAAGCCAGCTGTGTACAGCCCAGAAACAGCAATGGCCCCGAGGCACGCCGGCACTCGAGATCCATCGAGCGCGTGTTGCACGTGCCCCTTGATGCACTCTGTGAGCTCAAAAGGCTTGTGGTTTAGGGTTGGGGACCCCGATTTGTTTCGCTGAACAGCCAGAGGTTGAGCCCGTAGGCCAAAGAGACAAGCCCATAGCCTGCTGCGAAGATACTCTAGCACCTAAGCAGACATCCGTGCAGCCAATCGTACAAAGACTTGGCGCAACCAGAGCTTTCAAAAGAAAAAGCGGAAACGACCATCACTTTGGGAAGGTCGAGAAGCTGCAACGGCTGCGAAAGAGAACAAACAGCTATCTGGGTATGCAATGCTGACTACAATCACTGCAGCAGCCCCTCAGGCATCCCACCCCGATGAAGTGGTGGCACGCAAAAAGCCAGTTCTCAACTTGTCCAAAAAGTGCAGGGCACGCTGCCACTGCGAGCCTTGCTCACAGGAGCTGATGGCAGCATTGTAGCTGATCGAATCTGGGCTGACACGCAAAGCGCACATTTCCTGCATCAACTGCAAGCCTTGCTTCCAGAGGCCCTCTTTCTGGCAGGAACTGATGGCAGCATTGAAACTGATCACGTTCGGACTGACTCGGTGTTTCTGCATCTCCGCTAACAAACCTAAGGCCAGCTGCCATTGCAAGCCCTTTTCACAGGCGCTAATGGCCGCACTGTAGCTGACAACATCCGGGTCGATTCTCTCCCAACGCATCTCCTTCAAGACTTGAAGAGCCCTTTGCCACTGCAGGCCCTTCTCGCAGGAGCTGATGAAAGCATTGAAGCTGATCGAATCTGGATCTACGCGGTTGTGTTGCATATGCCTGAGCAAGTGTAAGGCCAACTGCCACTGGAGCCCCTTTTCACAGGAGCTGATGGCAGCATTGTAGCTGATGACGTTCGGGGCCACACGCTTGCTCTGCATCTCCTTCAGCAAATGCATCGCCAGCTGCCAATTGGAAGCCTTCTCGCAGGAACTTATGGTGACATTGTACGTGATCACATCTGGCCGCAGTTGGTATGCCACCATCTCTGCCCAAAGATGCAGGGAGCATTGCCACTGAGAGCAGTTCTCACAATTACTGATTGCCGCGTTGTAGCTTGTGACATCTGGGGGAGTTCGCTCGCTGCGCATTTGCCCTAGCAAAAGCAAGGCCCGCTGCCACTGCAAGCCTCGCTCACAGGAGCTGATGGCAGCATTGTAGCTAATCGCATCCGGGCTGACATGCAAGGCGCACATTTCCTGCATCAACTGCAAGCCTTGCTTCCAGAGGCCCTCTTTCTGGCAGGAACTGATGGCAGCATTGAAACTGATCACGTTCGGACTGACTCGGTGTTTCTGCATCTCGGATAACAAACCTAAGGCCAGCTGCCATTGCAAGCCCTTCTCACAGGCGCTGATAGCTGCACTGTAGCTGACAACATCCGGGTCGATTCTCTCCCAACGCATCTCCTTCAAGACTTGAAGAGCCCTTTGCCACTGCAGACCCTTCTCGCAGGAGCTGATGAAAGCATTGAAGCTGATAGTGTTGGGCTTGATGTGGTCGGTCCACATGCCCTTCAGAAAGCACAAGGCGAGTTGCCACTGCGAGCCCTGCTCGCAGGAGGAGATGGCAGCACTATAGCCAATGACGTTTGGCCTGATAAGCCGGCCATGCATTTCAAAAAGCACGTGCACTGCGCGCTGCCACTGCAAGCCCTTCTCACAGGAGCTTGCAGCAGCACTGCAGCTGACCACATTGGGTCTAACATGGTCTTGCATGCCCATCAGCAAATCCAAGGATCTCCGCCAGTGTTCGCAACAGCTGATCGTGGCGTTGAAGCCTCGCAAGCGCCGATTCAAACCACGAGAACCCACGTCGCTTTTTCTGGGGCCATAAGTAAACCGTGGGTCTGTTCTGAGAAAAGGTCACAAGGTCCAAAGGGGCAACTGAGTAGCTGATCACGTCGGGGCTGATTCGAATTGCTGATCTCGTGGTCAAAAGAAGCCAAGCGTGCCGCCACTGCTGGCCCTTTCCGCAAGCGCTGATGCTGGCGTTGTAGCCTCACTCATACCAGACTGCCAGGAACAAAACGCCCATTTTGAGGACCACCACCCTCAAACGCACTTCAAAATCACTTCAACACTTTCTTCCAATTCCGAATGCCCAAGCACCCCCCCACACCCCCTCACACCCCCTCACACCCCCCCACACCCCCCCACAACCACAGACCAACCACGCAGCTGATGACGTTGGCCACCTGCTCCCAACCCGCCGCGGAGAACGTCGCCAGCGCCTGCGGCCACAGCTGGGCTTGGCCCAGCTGCCGGATGGCGCGCGTGCAGCGGGCGCCGGGGCTCTCGGGGCGCTCAGGAGCCATGGCCGGGCCATTTTTCGCTGCCGCTGGCCAGTTAAACGAACCGAGAGGACAGAGCGCCGGTGGTCCGAAAACAGACATAAGAGGCTTGACGGCCAAGGCTGGCCAATTAAGAGGGCAGGGCAAAGGAAAAAGACTCGCATGGCATGTGGACAACGGTTTTCCCTCAGTGGAAGGGAAGTTCAAAGCATGGCCCCCCCCCCAAAAAAAAAAAAAAAACAGACTGTTGCAGAGTTTTCTGGAACCACCTTTTGCTCAACGCAACCTCATACTTCTTGCACATCGCTATGGCGATGCACCCCATTCGGATGACTGAGCTCGCTCTTTGCATGGGAAAAATCTCCCATGCCACGTCTGCACCCCTTCTCGTCTACACGGAGAGGATTGAACTAACAAGACTTGGCAAACCTCATGGTGTGCATGTACTATCTGGATTCATCTTTGGAATCTCAGGTACATTGACATCAGTCCTTATAAGAATAGAATTGTAAATAGGATCATATCCCCAGAAAACCAGAAGGTGTAGCCGCCTTGGACAATGGGTCTTGACTCTAATGGCCACTGATTGCGTTGCCCCAGACCTCCAGGCGCCACCGCTGACACTGCGGGAGAGAATTCGGGGAAGGAGACTCAGAAAGCAATGGGGGACAGCTTTCAACAGAAGCTGCCGTTTTGCTGGGCAGGATCAAGGACCTTCTTTGCCTTTCGTTCTCCATGGGGAAGAAATGCCCGCTCTAAGGATGCCGGCTGGTCCCTTCCTTGAGGGTTACGTAATGCAGCCCATGACATTCCAGCAGCACTGGTTGGCCATTTTCTTTTCTTGGCCACCACCCCTTCCCATGCACTACCACATGGCCATGGGTCAACATCCCGTACCCCCAGTGAACATCCCAATCCCCACTTAAAATCCCGACTAAAATGGGTGAATTCACCTACCAACCAAAATGGGATTTGGTTGGTGTGACCCACAGCCACATGAACCTGCCATCGTCCTTCTCCATGAAGGGCAGCATCTTGTCCAGGTTGACATGGACGATGACCTGACCCACTCAGACCCTCCCTTCCACTGGCTTGGCACCTGACAGGTCCCTACAGGAATGAATCTTCCTATGTGGGAGGGAGGGTACCCAGAGCAAACATCCTGGGACGAAGCAGGGCCATCTGTCATTCCCTGACGTGATGAAGCACTGGTTCTGACATAGAGCGGAGAAGCCCCTCAAGAGCGCGCGCGAGCGCGCGGGCGTCAACGGCAGGCTGTCTCACCCCGCCAAACTCGCCCAAGGACGTTGACAATGTTGCTTTTGCAGTCAGCCCGGTAGCCGCAGAGTGCTGCGAACAAGCGGCTTAGGTGCCACTGGTGACTACTCCAAAGCCCGGAATCATCGGCCTGAACTATAGTGGCTGACTCGTTACGGGCGCGGGCATCACGGTTTACCCGGTTGCCATCCACCCTTCATGCAAGCTTGAAGCTTCCCAGCTCCCTGTCCCACTGCACCGCGGCTGCGTACCAGCCATCAATCCCAGTTGGCCAACCCACCTAGGTTCCTCAGCTTAACATAGAAGCACGCGGGGGAGAAGTTATTTCTGACCTGGGCAAATGGGCTACAATATGCTACAATACCAGCTTTTCAACCACTGGAACCCATCCTATTTCCAACCAAACTCAGCCGATCAAAACGACAATCAACCCACCCAACCCGCGGCTCGGAATTTGTCTCGTTGGACGGCGCGCCATAGGCCGATGGCAGCCAAAAAGACCCCATCCCAACCCTCCAGAAAAGGGGGGGGGGTCGCAAATATATACACATATATGTATAGATATATATATATATATGTATTTATATATATATATATACATATGCATATAGATGTATATATTAGCCGTGCGCCCGGCCGGCGCCAGCTCCCGGATCCAGGCCAGGGTGAGCCAGAGGTCGTCCTCCTTAAATCCCAAGCCTTGAGGCGATCGAGGCGATGGAGGCGGCACCGCCGCACCGCCCGCTGGCGAAGGCGAAGGGAAGGAGAAATGGGAATGTCTTTGAGTGGGCGCCAAAAGGGACGCCAAACGGGTGGGTTGAATGGGACGCCAAAAGAAACGCCACCTGTTTGGGGGTCCCCCTCTCAACCCTCTCCTATGGCATTGTTTAGGTCCTTGTTTGTCAAGGTACCCCTTTTTTGGCGGTCTCAAAGGGAAACAAAAGGAGCACCACCATGCTGGAGGGTCCCAAAATACAAAGACAGACCCGCAAATGTGGCAGAAGAGCAAAAGACATGTGATTGCAACATGCCTGGCGTGATGTTGGATTAGATTGCATGGTAATTGCCACAAAAGGCATCACACAACATGACATGACACTTCACGTCGCATTCCGCGAAACACCACATCACAACCATGCAGCACACGTACACAAACAGCATGTTGTGTTGTTAAGCTATGCATCTCTCAAGTTGCCACCCCTGGTTTGCAGCCAAGCGTGCCAAAACAACGTCTTCACAACCTTCGTATGGTAGCAAAACGTCTGACAGTTTTTTGTAGCCCCCCAAACCTAAAAATCAATAGAACCAAAAAGCCAAAAAACAAGAGCAGCCGCCTACTAAATGAACAGAACCGAACCAAAACCAAACTTGATCCAAGAACACCTCGATTTTTACTTAGCACCAAAATGGCAACCAAACCCCAAGAAGTGACTCATGCAAGATGGCTGAAGTCTTGGTGGGTCGGGCCCACTGTCACTCACTCACTCAGAAGTCCATGAGCCCAGGTTTCAATTTTCTGCTCAGCTGCAGCTGAGGTGCGGGTGATCCGCTGCTGCAGCTTCGGCAGCGCCTCCTGGTGGTTCCTCCGAAGCCCCGGGGTTGGGGTTGGCGCCGGCCGGGGGGGGGGTTCGCCCCGAGAGGCGAGTAAAAGGGGGGTAGGTTGATGGCTGGAAACGAAGGATTTTCGGATTTCCAATGGTTGGAAGCTTCCCCCTACTTCAAGGGGCAATCGATTCAGTACTCAGTATGTGGTTCGTAATTGCTCTCACCATGGTAATGGCACCCGCTTTCCTGACGTACCGAATCGATCGCCCCTTTGAGAACGCTTGGGCAAAACTGGGCTGGACCCCTCCCCCCCGGCTTCCGACGATATAAAGCTGGAGAACCCGAAAATCAGGTTGTACGTGCCAGGGCCCAACAAGTTGGTTTTTGAAGAGCCCAACGGCTGTTTGTGCTGAAACATGTTTAGACAGGGGGTTGAATTGCCTAACTCTTCCAGTTCTTCAAAAGGCAGCCCATGACATGGCATAGGAGAGAAGCGAAAAGCAAAACCAACACACACCTTGCTAGGGAGCAACAGTTGTGGGATCTTTCGATCACAAAAAATGTACAATCAAGAAACCCTAGAAAGTACCGAACCCCACTGGAGAGTTCGACAGTAGCTTTGGACATCCCGCTCCCACAAATCTTGGATCCGCACAGCCTGCCGGCAAGCTAAGCAGAGGGGACATAGGACGGACTTTCGTTTTGAGGGAATCCCCCACCGGTTCAAATTCCCACCCGGGTTTTTTGCCTCCCCTTTCTCTCTCGCACTGGGAATTCCCCAAATCGCCGCACGGCCCGCCCAGCTGCGGAACGAACCTCCGGCCTCTTCGCGTGGCACCAAGAAACATGGCTTCCATTTTTTTTCGGGAATCCCCTACCTCCCAAGGCCCCAAAACCCCCACCTATCGCATGGGAATTCCCCACCAGCTTCGCCGCTCCTCTGCCGAGGCCCCGAAGCCCGAGCCCCCCCCCCGCCTCTTCGCCAGCATGCGGATGTGCTTCACAGCGCGGCACTGGCAGCTCACCAGCTTCGCCGCCTGGACCCGAAACGGTGTAAGCACACCCAGCGGGCCAAGGTAACCGTCAAAAGGCAACAAAAAGGAAAAAACAAAAACACAAGAAACAAAACATGAAGAAGACAAAAAACGACCCTTGGCCGAAAACTGACATCTGGAAATAAAACAGGCAGACCCAAATGCCTGGCTCAGATGATGCTGCGCTTTGTCTTCATGGAGAATCGGAAGAAAGCACCTAGGAACAGTATCGAAGAAACCTGCTTGCTGATGCCCACTATGCCAAGCTCCTGGAAAACCTGGCCTCTCATCAAAATGTCCCTTGAAAACGTGGGTACTAGTAGTTGGGGAAGGGGAAGCCTTCACTAAAACTTGGCCAATACAACAAAGTCATACAACATCAAAAGGCCAAAGGGTGAGTGAGATTCACATGCGCAAGTTACTCCAATCTTAGCTATGGGCTGAATACAGCCCAAAATGGTCACTCGAAGTGGGGATGAGCCAAACAGTGGGATTTTTGGTGGCACACCCGACAGGGGCCCCTACTTGATGACTTAAGGTCAAGACCAGGTCGGTACATAAAGATGCCGGAATTGTAACAGCACCGCTTTCGAGCCTCAAACTGAATCAACCAGCGTGCAGAGAAGGGGCTCCAGGTTTACTTCTACCGCGACCTGCATTCTGGTCGGGAAGAGCACAAAGATGTTCAAAGCAACACACAAAAAGTATCCCTTGGCTGTTTGGCCCGAAGGGCCCCACAGACCTGCAGTGCCTTCCCTTCATATCCCTTCATCTTGCGAGGCCACGATATTTGGTTGATGTCCTCGCCAGCCAAAATAAAAAGCAAGACAAGGTGACATGCTTGTATTGTTATTTTCTTTGTTCTTGCCATAACTCTCCTTGCAGAGAAGTGTTGGCTCCCACCCTGGCGACTCACGAAGACACGTGGCAAAGGTGTTGCTTGCGCCCCATCCCCGTGGCTGCCAAGGGTCTGTAAACCAGTCCCCCCCCCCCCACCGTCTACGAAGAACCGCTTGCATGCTGAGCCAAGAAAGATCCACAGCCATGGCTGAGTTCTCTTCCTTCCGCACACTGGCGCAAATACAGCAACATACACAACCAAACGCATGTAAATGGGTGTGGCCTTGTTTGGGGTTGCTTTGATGCGTGAAGAGCAGGCAAAAGGAACCACCCATTTGGGTTCCACCATCTTAAGATGAACACATGTGAGTATACTATGTCTACAGTGTATAGATATGTGTAAACATATGGCATGTTTTGGAAAAAACACCAAAAATGTGTACGTAAATCAACAAACAGACGGAACAATGGGTATTCAGCCCTCCCAGCTGCCCGGATGAAAACCAATCACTGCCGCGCGCCTCCGCAAACTCTGACGGGTGCCTCGGGAACACGAGCCAACGACAGAATCACCAGTTCCCATGTCAAAAACCAGGACCTACAAAGGTGCAAGCATCGGACTCCGTGAGAAAAGTGCGCGCGCGCCTATTTTGGGAAGCCTGCTCGTCACGCATTTGCCAACGTTCCGCGCTCGTAAGATTGGGACGCACGACACGCAAAGAGGAGCCAGGGCACTCATCATTTGGGATGTCCGAGCGCTGAAGGTATCACTCCGTACCTGCGACCCTAACATACCTGCACGGCGAAGAACTTGCAAGGAAAATCCTAAGCCAGTTTGAACCTTCTGTTGGATCCATCTTAGAGAGAGGGAAATTCTCACGTTTGCCCCTCAGAGCATCTGGCTACAGATGGCGCCTCGTGGAGTGAAGGCAACACACCTCTTACCTGCCGACGGTTGACCTAGTTTGACCTCCATAAGTACATCCTCAAACCGATCCTGTCGGCTTACGGGCTTGCATTCCCGACGCGAGCTACGCAGGCACTTTGTGCTAGTCCGCCTTTCTTCTGGAGGCAACTGGCCAAAGCTTCCGTTTCTCTTGGAGCCCCAGCCTGGGCCTTCTAGCGGAGGATCCATTTCATTGCCGCTCGAGTCGACCACTGACTTGGAGTCAGCCGCGTGAAGATGACCCTTCATGGCCCCCATGTTTCACGCATCCAAAAGGGCGTGGGTCAAAATGAAACCAGGGGCCGCAGGTTTTGGCCAATTTTTCCATTTATTAGGGTCCCTTTTGGGTACCTATTTTTGACCCACTGCAAAAAAAAAACGCGCCGCAGGCGAAACGACGAGTTGCAGCCAAGGCGCACCACCATCTTCCAGTATGCCTGGGCCTCCTTGTCGATGCCTGCGGGCATCGCAAATCCGTCACGAGCGCTTTGCCCCAGCGGCAGCCCGCCATGGATCGGCCCACCCCGACCTAAATGCATCCCAACTGGACCCACAATTTCGCCAGGCGTTTGGCACATCCAGGTGGACATGCCTGTAGACGAGCGCTTGAATTCATCTGGATTCTGGCAGTGTCGGACAATGGAACCCACAACACAAACAATGGAGCACGTGCCAGCATGTCCTCCTGGGCAGCTGCCGACCCCTGTGACACTCATTTGAAAAGGCACCGAGCCTTTGAGGCGCACACTTCCAAGTAAGGCAACCGCAAACTAACGCTGGACCATGGAGATCATTGGAATGCGGAATGCTCTTGGAATGTACCAATCAAGGGGGACCACTGGCCTTCTCTGGCGGGGAAGCGGCTGAATCCACTGACAGCATTTCAGGGTACCAAATGGAAGCTTGGGTGGGGTGAGGACCACTTCAAAAGAATACTGGCAGGTGAAAGAAAACAAGTGGACCCGAAAGGCTGTTTCAGCACCAACGCTGTTGGACCAATGTCGGTTCAAAAGCAGGTACCCCGAATCCGAGTTGGGCTCAAGTTTGCCAATGCAACCGATTCGAAAGGGGTCTGTCTCATAGCTTTCTGCCCAAAAAGTTATCCGCTGTTTCCTGCCTTTTCATTTTTGGGCCGGGGCAGCTCCTGCTCTTTTTGCTTCTTCCTTTCCTGCCGGGGCATCTCCTGCTGCTTTTGCTTCTTCCTTTCTTCTGAACCATCTCCTGCTGCGGTCGCTTTTTCTCCCTTTTTCCCCCCTGGAACCTCCTTGCTTCTGCACCATCTCCCGTGTTTCTTGCCTTTTTTCCCCCTGGCCCCTTTCCCATGTGCCGCTTGAACGGGGGGTTTCCTCGTTCCACCCCGGACCTGCCAGGTCCAGCTGCGCGGACGCCAGTTCAGTGGACTCGGCCGCGCTGAGGTCGTAGCCCAGCCTCAGCGCCGGGGGGCGCTAAAGCGGGGGGGCGGGGGGAGCCTCCGGCGGCCCACGTGGGACCGGAGGTTCCGGGAACCTGGAAGACCAAGTTGCCTGAGTCCCTCGGAAACTCCATGTTAGCCTTTTCCTCTAAGGGCCTCTGGTGGGTTCCATGATTGACAGGGTACATGTCTCCCCTTGAAACCTCGCCCCATCCAAAGGGAACTCACCTTGAAAGGGATCAAACTGTGATGTTTAGGAGCCCTGGTTGATTTTGACCGCTAGGATGGTTTCCGCTGGCAAACCATTTCTCTGGCATAGCCAGCGCATATTGGCCATATGGCTATATGCCTCAAATTCCCCATGGGTAGCGATTTGGGCCAGTCGCAACACAGTTCGATGATCGGGGGGGCATAGTCATAAAGGGACCTGGTGCTATGTTGGTGGGAGTCTTCTTGCTTCCAAATAAGAGGGGATCCCTTGAATTCGCTGGAGGAAACCCCAACGCGTTGCTTCTTTCTCTGCGAGGGTCCATCTGCCATACCGCGCCCCGGGCTTAGTTGGCAAACGCTTATGAGAAATGGAAAATGAACCCAGTCCAAAAAAAAAAAGGAAACCACCGGTTGGATGGTTTACAGGGGGTCGCCTCATTTTCTGTCGGGCAACAGCAAGATAAGGCAACCGGCCTGCCTGCCATCCTCCTGCTTCGGGCCTGTGGCTTACCCCGTCAGGCTGGCCAAGGATCCATTCCGGAGGAGGCCAATAAATACTACAGAAGGCAGGCGCCCAAGGAATGGCCTCCATTTGCGGATACGTCCCCTGGAAAAAATACAATATGTCCGGTAGTGATAGATTCCCTCTAAAACCAACCTGGGAAAATAACAAATGGTCTTAAACTAATGGCACATTTGGAAGTCAAATGTTGACTTGCTCTGGGCAAGCCAGGCTTCCCTCCTTTCCACATTTCGCACCATTCCAGGCCGGCACCTCGATTTCGGCCAGCGCTGGAGTCTGTGAAGCCGCACGCCCTTTGGCCCCATGAAAGCCGCGGACACATCATTGACACCGTGGATGGTTGCGAAATCCAGACATCGGCACCACGGAAGGAAACCTTTTGGTTGAAACCATGGCGCATTGGTAAAAAATCACAGGGGAATCGAATCAGAAACCAGGGTTTCTGAACGGTGGTGCGAAGTGGATTTCGCAACCACCCACAGCATCATGCAGGCCCAAGGCAACTTCCAACAACTTCAAAGCAGACTGGCCTAAAAGAACAAGATGCTGAAGCAGAAAGGAATTCAACAATTCGGTGAGCCCTCCCCTGCCCAGGCCGGAACCTGACCACCAGGAATCGGACCGCAGGTTTTAATTTACCGGTGGTTCCATTTTCCAGGGCAAGCCATTTTGGCTACCCCTCCATTTGCTCAAGTCCCCCGGAAAAAGGAAAAATATTTCCAGTAGTGATAGATGCCCCTTTAAAACCAACAGGGGAAATAAAAAAAACACGATTCTTAACCAAATGGATTTACCCATTTTTGACCCAGCTCCATTTCTGCTCTTCTGCCAAGGGCACTTCGCCTTGATCCGCTTTTGCCGCTCCTCGAAGAGCTTCTGGCTGCCGCCCATCTTGCCGACCTATGGCGCTCGGCAGTCCCGGCAGCACCCACGGCAGGAGGGACTGAACTCATTCGGGTGGCTCATCCCACAAATACTAGGAAAAAAAAACACTGGCAGCTGCATGGTTTTAAAGGTTCCCGTTCAAACTCCCGAGTCCACCCCATTCTGGGCAAGCAGAAGAACTAATGAGAGAGCGGCGAGACGCATAAGGCTTCAAATGGCAACCGGCTTGGAAAAGTGGTGTTTGAGCCCCCAACAACTGGACACCCATGCAGTCCGTGTTCACACTCGCCCAATCTGCTTTTGGCTCTAGCGTGCAGTTGGAGTGCAACAAGTTGTGAAACTCCTTTTTCATGGGGACGCACTTCACGGACACAAACAAGTAACAATAAGTGCATCTGTTGCTTGTTCCTCTCTCTCTCTCTACTCTCCCGATCTGGCGCTTAGTCTTCAACTTGCGTTGCTGGCACTAAGCTGGCGAAAATTCAATTGCTCCTTCTGCCCGTTCTTTTGAACAAGCGGCTTTAGAACGCAAAGGAATAGCTCCGCGCAACACTCTCCCTACTATGTGTGTTTAGCTTTGCGGTGGGAAAGGTCTTCATGGCCTGACCTAGTTTTCCGACTGGCCAACACCAATGGCAACGTTTGCAAGCTGCAATTTGGCGGGCGCGCTTGAAATCACCTCGGCCATTTGTTGGGCCAAGGCAGGCACGAGTTCATACAGGCATAGTGGCCATGCAATGAACTCTCGCTGATGCTGATGTGCTCAGTCCTTTGGGGCCTTGTCTGCACTCCAAACCCCGCCAAGCAGCATACTCCTGGAACTCATCGAAGGAGATGGTGTTGCTCTTGTCCTGTTGCTTGTGTTCGGTTCAATCATCGCATTAGAAGTTGGTCCCAGCATTTCCCCGCGACATGCTAAGCCCCTCTCGCAGCTGACAAAAGATTGCTGGACCAACCGGTTGCCTCCAATAAGATTCGCAGGGTTTGGAATGAATAGTTTGGGGAGGCAGATGATGCGGAAAGTCAAAGGCTGCGATTTTCGTGCTTTTCCGATGCAGTTTGCCTCGCGGTACTTTTTGGGCCTCCACGAAGGCAATGCAATTCGATTGCCCCGAAAGCTGGAAGCCCAACATGGGAGCGGATTTGAGGGCCGCGTGAGGGCCACGTGAGGGCCATGTGCCTAAGATTGAGGGGTGCCGGAGAGACGCTCAGTCCCTGGATTATAACCACCCCAACCCCTGACAGCTCCCAGAACATGAACATGATAGAGCTCCGTATCTATCATCACCATCAGCTTGTTGATGTCTGCATCCTCCGCGGGGAAGCCCAAATAGCCTCAGCGCTCGTTTTGCCGGTCCGGCGTGAATCCCCCTTTTTGTCGGCTCTGAGCAGCCTGAAACCTCGTTGACTTTCAGAATAAGGCTGGTTGAGTGCCCTCCCTTGCTCCTCCAACTGCCTTTTATGTTCCTCGATTCCCGAAAACACGCGAAATAAACGTTGGACTTGCATGGACTTGCGTACCAAAGAAAGCCAGCACCATGCAAGCACGGGCTGCAGCTCAAAACAAAGAGATGGCACCACCTTCGTGGAGGCATACTAAAAAGTACCCGCCTGTTCGCTTGCACACGGCCACTTAGCTGCGGCCTTCTTCCCTCTGCAAAATCCCTAGGGGTATTCTCTAAAACAAATACCGCCCAGGTCGCTTCTGGCATGCGCTCTTCCTTGTGCACAAGTGATCTTCGAGATGCGGCCCAAAATTGCGCAAGCGACTTGCCGGACATATGCTCCAGGGGCTTTCCTCCTCTGTAAAATGGCCCCGTGAGAAACAAGAAAAGTGGATAGGGACATCTGATTCATCAACCAACTGTCTCGCCCCAAGCAATGGATCATCATGTCTCCCTACCAGAAGGGGGAGGGGGGTGGGGGGTCCCACGAGTCTATTTTCTAGTCTTCCCAAGGGAAAACGGAACCAGAAGTCATAACTGGAATTGCCGGGCTCCCCCAATTCCATTTGGAAGGGGATGGGGATGTCATCATTGAATCATGGTCAGTTTGGGACGGGGCATCTTGATCAATTCGGGGCCAAGGGCGTTCTCGCAAGTCTGCCTAAAGGTGGCCGGCCGCAATGCGCCAAGTGGCGATGCATGTTCTTAAGGTCGTCCTTCCTCACATCGGCAAGTGGTGATGCATGTCTTCCCTGCCCCAACCAAAAGCAAAAACAAAATAAAAACAAAGGCTTCAGTCCTTTTTGGTGTCCCTTTCCAAGGAATCAACCAACAAAGGGTTCCCAAAAAGATAAACCATGTTTCTTGGGTGGGTTGAAGGAATAAACCATTTTTTTACGGGGAGTTTCTTCGCGTCGCTACTCCAAACACCAAGTGTGTCACTAAAGAGGTATTTGCCCTGGAAACCAGGTTCTCCTCCAAAAAGGGGTGACTGGGCACATCTTTGACAGACGGCAGGGTTATTTGCATTCCGCCACTCCCATGCAACCAGAAAGGCGTCCTGACTGCCTGCCTCCATGTTTTAGCCGGGCGGAACCCCCCCAACGACGCAAAGCAATGCGATGCCAATAAGGTGAACTAAGCCTGCTGCTTTGCAATATTTGCTGTGCCCACCTTCATTACTTGTTAAATGTTGTGATTTTAGTCAACTCTCTGCAGTCAAACCGCATGCCTGCATGCCTATTATGCAATTTCACGCGCAGGCCAACTGCTTCCAAAACACCGAGAACGGCGGGCCAGGTTCTGCTTTCTTTCCAAAGCAAATAGCTTTGGGCGAAGGACCCCAAAACTGACCAGAAACCTCGTGATTTTCCTGCTGGTGCGCTAGGCAAATGAGTTGGAATGACCCCAAAAAAACCATCCATCTGTTGGTTTCCTTTATTCGGGACTCCCCCAAAACTGGGGATCATCCCCACATCTTTCCCTGCATCTCTCGCACTTGCAAGCCAACACATGAACCAAATTGTCACTCTGGTTCTCTACTTGGTGGTTTGGTGGCCAAAAACTGGCTTCCCATTCTAGGTCCTCCAGATAAGGGTACCCTTTTTCTGTAGTGTATTTTAGTAGGGGGACCCTCCCAACCAAAAAAGAAACGGACTCCCAAGGATCCGAGTCTTGGGAACCACCGGCTTCCTTTTGGGAGATGCTCCTGATGGACAAAATCCTCCTAGGCACCGAATCGAAATCCAAAAGCCGAGGCGCCCGAGCTTGTTCTGCTTCTGGTTGTCGAAGAGCTTGAAGGCCCTGGCCAGCGCCTCCTCCTCCGCCTCCAACTCCTGGGCGGAGTTGGTGGTTTTGGACGCCCAGAGCCGGAGCCGAATCGGTGCTTTGTTTTGGATGCGCGAATTTGGTGGTTTTGGGTTGGAGCCGGAGCCCTGTGCTTGGGATTTGGAGTTGAGGCCTTGGTTCTTGTAGGATTTAAGTGAGGAACCGGTGGTTTGGAGTTGGATTGGATTCTAGGGGGTAAATGGATCGAAAACCCTTCCATTTCACCACCAAACCACCAAGTAGAGGGAACTTGCGATCGGTGCGAGAGATGCAGGGACTCAGACATAGAATGGCCCGGAGAACAGCCATCCAACTGGTGGTTTTCTTTATGGGGACCCCTGGGTTGACCCGGTATTGAAATGGTCTAAGCCCAGAACCATGCCTCAAGAATTACCAAGGCGGAGATCCGCACCCGTTTATGGCAAGGGGGGTGTCCCTAACCTTCATCTACTCAAAGTTTTGATTGTGGCTGGCCCCTAACCTTCACGGTTCTGAGCAGGTGGCTCATTTGGTTGATGTGTTGGAAAGCCCACGGACTTTTCTGGGAGAAAACCCACGGACCTTCTCACATTGTGAGCCCCTTGCGCGGGGCTGGCAGGAAACTCCCATATAAAGGGGGAGAGTCCCTTGTATCACAGAAGCGGGGATAGACCCCCTTGGTTCTTTTCCGTGTTCCTCACGATGACTGGGGCGCTGCTGCGCGGCTTGGCTAGCATGGTTTGCCTTCGCCTTTCCCACATGGTGATTTACAAGGATGGCTAACCACGAAAATGCGGCGAGAGACCAGAACATGCGGCACTTTACAGGGGCCCTAACCTACACTGGACCAAGCATGCCATTGAAAGCGTGCTGAAATACCTACCGGATGCGCACCTGCAGTTACAAGAGGTTGCCTACCCCCCAGGCTCCAGTGCTCCAGCATGCGGCCCCTCAGCAGAAGTTGTCATCTTCAACCAGGGTGGCCAACATAAACCCTAAAAGGTGTCGGGTTTCTTTTTTAAACCCCAACCCAGGTCGCCTCAAGCAAAAAAAGGCAGCCACGCCACAGCGTTGGTGGGCCCAACCTAAACCCTAAGAAGTGCCGTCGGCGGCGGTATCCAAAAGCTTTCGGTGGGCTCCTTCTCCAGATGCTCCAAGAGATCGTTGGCGTCTCCGGCGCTGGGGTCCTTGATGGCCGCCTCGACCTGCACCACCTGGGTTCATTTTTGGAACAGGCGGCCTGGAATTGATGTTCTGAATGTTACATCAGTTGTGGATAAATTAGTTCCATCATAATAAGTTGATATTTCACTTGTTCCCATTAATATATCTGTTCCAGTAGTCATTGAAATACTGTTCAAAAATGAAACCGTTGTTTGGAACAGGCGACGCGGCCTGGAGCGAGCCATGTGGCCGTCAATGTCTGTCTCTCGGATTTTTTGGGGGGGAGAAGCCCGGTTTGGGTGAGTTTGGGGTGGGGTTTAGGGCTTAGGGTTTAGGGTTTTAGGGTTTGGGGTTCAAGGGAGGCCAAAAGAAGCAGCTGGCTGGGTTGCCATTTAGGCGTCCTTTTTTGGAGGGGAAACCCCCGTTTCCGAAAGGAGGCCACAATAATATTTGTTTGGTGGGGGGGGCCTAAAAAAAAGGCACACCCGTTTTGGAAAATTGCCCTGAAAGTGGCAACAACTACTGATAGATGTCCAGTCTGATTTGGGAAAACTTATTCTTGGCAACGGTGCACTCCCCCATTCCAATCACCAATTCCAAGTGCCCGCCCCCCCCCCCCCAAACCCCAAACGCATGCAGTACCCAACATGCAGTTTCTTCTTTTTTGCGAAGGGCCCCACTCGCTTCGCCAGCGTTGCTTTGCGCGAGTGGTTCTATTCACCGTTGCTTGATCTTTTCGTGGGTCCGATGGAAGGTCCACTGTTGACCAAAAAGTTTTGAAGTCCAGAGAGCCAACCAAAACCATCAAGACTTGAGAGGCGGGTGAACGAAAGCTAGCCTAGCCAGCCCAGCGACGACATGTACGACTCAGGAGTTGCTAGGATCTACATTTTGAGACCACCCGGAAGAACAGAACAATGACACATTGCACAAAAGTGCGCCTGCTCAGAAAGAATGGGTAGTTAGGTCTTAGACATTTCTGGAAGTCTTCCTGGAAGCCCCGCGTGACATCCACTTCAACGAGGAGTCCTTGCATGCGGCGTTTGCTCCAAAGGACTTCTTGAGCCACCCGTGTAGCATCCTTTCTGCGCAAAAAAGAAAAGAAAAATGCATCCCCGTACCTCCAAAGGGGCCAAAACGTCCGTCCATACCTCGGCCAACTGCCACGTCTGCCAAGCTCAGAGCCAGGCATAGTAGTTCAAGGGGTGGTTCTCGAACTTCAAGTAGCGTCTTGTGGCTACGATCTCCTCGCAAGTGGCAGACGAGCGCAGGCAGGTAGGCAGGCAGGCGGGCGGGCGGGTGGGCAGGCCAGGAGCGGCAAAACGTATCATGCAATATGTAAACCACCTGGCCAACACAACCTTGCTTGCTCTTTTTGTTGGGCCCTTCGGAAACAAGACCACGCCTGATGAGTCTCCTCGCATTCAGCAGCTCACCACCCTCCCCCAAGAAACCGGCCCGGCCGAGCCGCATATAGCCTGGTCTCGGCGTTCATCTCTGCCAAGCGGCGAGCTCGAGCCGTGGGCTCCCGCGGACAGCGAGTTGAGTAACCGGCAGGTGTCGCTTCCGAACAAGGTGGGTGGCTCAACTTGCAGGCTGCTAGGTGCTAAGTGCCAAGCTGACACGGGTTCAGGCACTGGTGGGGTGACAACTCAACTTTGGTGGGGTGACAACTCAACTTTGGTGGGGTGACAACTCAACTTGCAGGCCTCTTCCGAAGCTGGCAGAAAAGGCTGGTTTGGATATGTTGCCTGCCATGGTCGGCAGCGTTTTGAGCACAGCCCCTTCTGACCCCAGCACCCGTCCTTCCTCTTTTGGACCAGCTCTTACCCACTTGGGGTGGGGTCAAAAGCTATCCTAAGTTGGAAACTGAAAGGTACAACAGGGGAAGCGTTCAGCGGAATCCCCCCCCCCCCCTTAACGACTTCCGAACACCGAGGTTGAAAGAACGGACAAGCGCGGCAAAAAGCCTCTCCAAGAAACATGATGCATTTCAAGAAAGCTCCGGTAGATGTGCAAACGATTTCACTGTCATAAGAATTGCTCCTTGCACGCCACTTCCAAATACACCAGTACAACAGTGTACGTATCGAGGGGCGCGGTCGAAATGATCATTGCCACTGGTGAACACAGAATGGGTTGGCGGTGCAAACCGACTTGGGGGCTAATCGGTTAACACATAACGGCAAGTATGTGCAAAATCACCGGGCGGTGACTTCCTGATCCCTCACAATCCTGTACGTCCCTGGGCGACAGTGCCAACATGACTCATGGAACAGGCTGTATGCAGCCTTCCGGGATCTTGCTCTTATGCCTTGCGGCCAGGCCCATTGGTCCGCCGTGACTGGAACCCCTCTTCCCATTCGCCTCGATCTGGTGCTTGTAGTCCGTCTCCGCCACCAGCACACCACCCACAAAGGCCCCAAGGGTCTCCGACAAGCCAAAGGCCTGGAGGCATGGGTCTCCATGTGGTTGATCCAAAGGTCCAATGAACATGGGACGACCATTGCTTGGACAACCAGTTGAAAGGAATTGATATGTCCCACATGGGAAAAGTTACCCGTGGTCATTTCGGGACCAGCAAGCTGTTCTTGGTTTTAACTGGCTACATCACGGTAGCCAAGTCAGTCTGCTCAACCTGAAGCCACATTGGGATAATTTGTGCAAGCGTGGCCAAGTATCATATACTTGATCGGGCGTTGACGGCCTGCCTGTGCTAAAGAACACGTCGTGTGAACCCAGTCGCGCGCGGCCCAATCGACCAAGCAAGAACGGGCACTCTACAACAAACATGCGCTGCGCATAACGTCTGTGCACTCAGGCAGTTCAACATGGAGGGCTGACCAGTCTTAACTCTTCATCCGTGTGGCAAACGCAAGGGACCTCTGTCATAGCACAAGGGAAGGGTTAAGGACGCTTTCGAGCCCGCAAAATAACAACCTGCGCGAAAAACAGCCGCCAGATGTCCAAGGCAACTCCGGAACATAGCGGGTCCAAACCAACACGCCCTCCCCACATGCCACAAATGCTCAGCAAAGGTAAGTTACATGGACGACGAAAATGGTGACCAACCACTCAGCTAGGATGCCATCATCAGACACAACACCATGCCGAATGATGCCACATCAGTACCCTGGCTTGGATGGATGGGGCACTTGAAAGCAAGTGTCCCACCTCCGATCCTACCTTGACTGGGCTCGGCCCCTCGGCCCCTCCCCCCTGAATTCGCAGCCTGGGTCAGGCTCGAGGAGAGTAGCACGGTGCCCAGCGTCATCGCCAGGAACGCCTCTCGCGCGTTGTCTTTTTCCCCCGGGAGGGTCTGATGAAAGCCAGCCCCGCAGCGGTTACCACTTTTCGGAAGCATGATATTTCTGTGATCCTGGGCCATCCCGAGGCCAACACGTCAAGTAACAAAGCCTGTAGCCTCCTGTAGCCGCAAAGTTCATTTGGGCAAGCTTCAAGCCCTGTGGCTTCATTCAGTGCCCCCTCTTAGACCCGGCAAGAGCTTGAGTGTAGCCTGCGTCCATGAGCATAGCCCACAGCACAACACCCGCCCAGACAACCACGACAAGAAGCACCTTGCAAAGAACCCAATGATCTCTCAAGTCTTCTCAAGTCATAGGCCGTCCAGCTGGGACGGCCTAACACCCGCCCCTGCTGTTTTGGGCTACCGCCCAAAAAGTGTTGGCTACTTGTGCAAATCAATGAGGCCCGGGGCACTTTCAGGAAGAAAGTCCTGACCCAACAATGGAAAAGGGAAAAGCCAATATCAAAAGACAGCCTTGGGTCAAAATCGCCTTAAGCTTACGGTCTGGCTCTAGTCAGTTCCATGCTTCAAAAAAGCGTCCTGTTCACGCTGTTGCATCGCAGACTCTTGTAAGAAAATGTGCAGCAAACAGCTCCACAAGGTCTGGATCGCACTGCCATCTCCGCCATACTCTGCATCACCCCAAGTCACCACAGAGCCGTCGTCCGTGACAGCAGCAAAAGCATGGTTTGTTGCTTGGATCTGCCGGACCTGCACTAGTTGCTCTTGCTGGCGAGGGTCGCCCCAAGCCACCGCAGAGCCGTCGTACGATGGCCGCAAAAGCTCTCCCAGTTGCTTGACCCGTGTCAACTGGACATGGCTGCTGTCACCATAGTAAGGATCACTCCAAGTCAACACAGAGCCACCGTCAAGAATGGCAGCGAAAGCCTGTGCAGTTGTTTTGATCTGCTGGACTCGCACCAGTGCTTGGCACTCGGCGATGGACTCCAGTCAGGACTCTATCGTTGCGCTTGACTGTGCAGATGGGGGCAATGCCGACGATCCCTGCGGAGATGCCGAGTTTGAAGAACTCGGCTGGAGTAGGCGCGTGTGGTGGACGCCCCAAGTATGCGCTGTGCCTCCTGCGACAAAACATGAGAATTCTCCATTTGTGGAAGCTAGCGGGCTGCACAACTGCACCAATGATGTCCCCATCTCTCACGCCCACCTCGCCCAAAGCATCCGAGGGATTCAACTGCTGGCCTCTGAAAGCGAGCCTCAAAAAGCGACGCAGAATCTTGCCGTTGAGCCTCAGCCTTCAGTTTGCCGACGCTCGACTCAGCTCTGCCCACTCGGCAGGTGCACGTCTACTTGCATGGCACTTGCGCAATCCAGGGGGGCAAAGAGGTCGGCACTAGAAACCACAGGCCTGGCCTCTGGCTAGTTGCGCCAGTTTGCGTCAGCCCTGTCTGAACACCATGCGACACGTTTTTGGACGAAATGAAGGAATCTGGCAAACTCATGCGAAGGAACTCGCGACGCATCCAAATGGGAACAAAATCAAGTTTAAGCACGGGGGTCAACTAAAACCTGCCAATTCACATGAACCCTCAAAACAGGGCTCTGCGGGTTCCATTTGAGGAGTTTGGGGGTTCCATCTGCAAGCAACCCCATCCCCAAGTGCAAAAACCGAGCTGTTGAATTTTAGGGTTTTCTGAGCAACCCCTTCCCGCGCCAAACAAGAGCCGACGCCTCCGAGGAGTCGGAGCGCTTCACAAAGGTCAGCAGCGGCCGCAGCAGGAAGCTCAGCGGATGGAGCGGATGGAGCGCTGGGAACAGCACTGTGACGAGTCGCTGGGGGCTGTTGGTGTCGACCCGTTGGGGAAGAATGGCCATCCATCTGTCTATCTCGATGATAAGCTGAAGATATGTAGAGACCCAAAATTTTCCGAGGGCAAGCCTGCGTGCACGTCAGCCGCCAGGGCTTCCTCATTTCCCGCCATTTGCTTAAGTCCCCTGGAAAAAAATAGACATATGTCCAGTATTTTCCAGTGGTGATAGATTCCCTTTAAAACCAAAAGGAAAAAATGTTCTTAACCAAATGGAAGTTACTGAATGAAGCAACCCAAAGCTTCGGCGAGTTTCCCTCGCGGAAACTTTTTCGGCGCCAACCGCCCCGCAATCTTCGCCCTCCACCAGCCCGGCCCAAGCTGGGCCCCGGCTGCCCAGTGCCCACGATGATGCCCAGCGCCATCATGGCCTCGAAACGGTGAAACGCGCACGCACGCACGCACGCACGCACGCACGCACGCACGCACGCACGCAAACAGACAGACAGACAGACAGACAGACAGACAGACAGACAGACAGACAGACAGACAGACAGACAGACAGACAGACAGACAGACAGACAGACAGACAGACCGACCGACCGACGGACGGACGGACGGACGGACGGACAAACAAAACAGCCACACACAGACACAAACAAACAAACAAACAAACAAACAATCAAACAAACAAGCAAGCAAGCAAACAAACAAACAAACAAACAAACAAACACAAAGGCTTCGCCCGGAGGAAACCACTACCACCTGGCGGAAGGATTCAGGATTGATTTAGAACAACCCAGTTTGTACAGCACATTGCAGGAACCAATTCAATCGCTGATCGGAGCTTGCCTCTGTCTGAAAGCATGCATGTATTGCAAGAACAGTGCCACATGCTGGTGGCCGCCAGGTCTTGAGCGATAATGGGGAAGCTTCCAAGCCCAAAACAGCAATAGGGATTGAGGTATGATACATTTTCTCGGCAGCAGTTTTTCAGGAGGCCCCCAGTGCACGCATCGCCCTGGACAAACGCACTACAGTACCCAAAACTGGAACTTCCACCAAATCAGCTTCCCGAATTTCGGGGGAGCCTTTGTTTGTGTTTTTTTTGTTTTTCCCCCAACAGCTGAAAGCTTTGGGGTCTCAGCACAGATAGGCTGCGGGGTGGTGCGGGGAGGGCCTGAGGTAAGGCTCCACAAGGGTTCCACCAGGATTCCACCAGGGTTCCACGAGGGTTCCACGAAGTTCTGCGAGGGCTGCGGGGTGGTGCGAGCACTAAAAAGAGCACCGCATGCCGTTGGGGATATCACCTGAGCTTATGATAAAAGCCGGGTTTATATCAAAACGTATTTTGCTTGCAAACCGACTTTTTGATTTCTCAAAACTCGCATGCATCTTTCTACTGGGCTCACCTCACCGCCTTGCACGCCGCACGTCTCACTCCACACCCCGAGGCCTTGCCAAAGGCCTCGGCCAAAGCCGCCTGGCGATGGCCCCTCTCGCTCGAGCACCGCAAGGATCGGGTGGAAGTACACTTGGTTGACGTTGGGTTTGGGGAGCAAAAATTGAAATTTTAGCAGTTAAGTGGTTGGATTCCTTACTAAACCACAATCAGCAAAATGCAAAATGTTTCCCAACGACCACCATGTACATACCCCTTGTTCATACCGGTTCCTTGGCTTCCCTGGTTTCCAACCCACTTTCCAAGAATTAGAAGAAAATTCCCTTGCGGAGGAACAAGAAGGGGGTATGAACATCAGGCGTGTTGGGACTTCATTTGTGCCAGGGGCATGTACAAGCCTCCCGCCGGTGGCTTCCTGGAGGACTCAGTTGGCTTCCTTTGAGGGGATTTTTGTTTCGGGTTCTATGTCCCCCTCATTCCCAGCTGGGCGCCGGCAAGTCGTTTCCAGGATCTACGCCCCTACGAGCTGCATACGCGCGCGTTTTTTGTCGGTCGGCATACGCGACTTTGTGGAAACGGGTGTGCTTTTTCTTGGTGCCCCCTTTCAAGGCGCAGTGCGATGACACTTTGATTGTCAACAATTGAACTAATTTTCAGAACTCCCTCAACTTGCTGCTGTGGGCCCCTCTGCAAAAAGTGTTCAACGTTTTGTGGTCCAATGCAAAATCCCACTGCTTCAACCAACAAGTTGAAGTCCAAAGATCCAACCAAATAGCCATAAAGATTACAAAGAGCCATAAATATATTTAAAGTCAAAAGAACCATGCTCTCGCGAGCATCTTCATGGCTAACAAGTAAAGCCAAAACCATCTTTGTGGCCCCCTCAATTTTGGCAGCGCCGCAGAGAGGGAGGTGGAGGCCGCCGGGTCGCTGAGAAGCGGCGCGAGCACAAGCAGCGGCACCACCTGCTCCGAGCACGGCAGCATCGAGCGGATGAAGTTAATTTATGTATGTATGCATTTACTTATGGATTCACCTATTTACCTATTTATGTATTTATTTATGTATTTGTTAATTTATGAATTCATGAATTTAGGAATTTATGTATTTTATGAATGTCTGTATTGGTGTGTTGATTGTTTGGCTTAGCTACTCTTCTTTTTTTGGGGGGTGGTAAACACCCCAAAAGTGATTAGGAGTACCTCTTCAACGGGATCAAGGGGTGTGCTTAATTCCCCAATTGATCCGGACCACCAGGTGGGGCACAAGAATCAACCATGGGCTTACTTATCTTGAGTCAGCAGTAAGAGGTGAGGAACCAGAGTTACCAGGGGCCAGACTTTTCGGCCCCACGGTTGCAAGTCGGTAATTAGTCCTTGAAATCAAGCTGCGGTGGACATGTTTGGGAGATCTCTCCCTCCCGTTGGATTCTTTTCTCCCGTCTTCCTCTGCTGCTTCATCTTTTCTGCATCCTGTTGTCTTGCCGTGGTTCTTGACAATTGGCTTCCAAACATATTAGGGCCTGACCAGGATACCCACTCATAGGCACCTGGTTGGGCCGGAAAAAAATGGTCCGCTGATTGGGTGAGTTTTTTGCTTTGTTGGTTTCGCCCAAAAAAAAAAAGGGAGGAAAAAACACCTTGCCCCTTTCCCACCCTCCACGCTGAACCCATCCGGCCCCATCCGGCCCCATCCCCCTGACTCTCCACTCGGCGAGCCACCGCCAAATCCTGGAAGAGCAGCACGCCCAAGGACCTTGCGATTCTGGGCTGTGCTTTGGCCGAACTGCTGTGAGCCTTTCCCAGCTGGGTCTGTCTTAGGGTGCCCTTTTGGGGCTGGTTTAAAGGGACACCAAAAGGAACACCGTGTTAGAGGGTCCAATTTTTGAAAACACACACAGATTGTCTGAAGATATGCACGCTCAGTCAAGTTGAGCGACTTGAACATGTGCCATGTATACATCAAAAACCCTTCCCAGTAGGAAGGGCATACAGACACACCCAGATGTTTGCCGTGGCCAAACAAAATGAACACTATTTTCTCGCTCTTGGCGTAGAATGTGATCAAGTCGCGGCTTCAGTGAAGCCGACTGGCTTGCGAATGCATTAAATCTTCAGAAGTGCCTAAGTTCTGATGTTACCTTCTTTGATTGTGGGACAAGGTGAGGACGGAGTGAGGCGAACACCCTCCTGTCAAGCCCTGAGCACCGCCAGCCCCAAAAGCAAGATCCCAAACAAAAAACCACCAGCATGGCCAGCTCGGAAACCAGCGAATCCTCACTCACCACTTTCGCTCGACCCGTTGGCCACTCTTAACTTGGTTGCTTTCTACTCCCCTGCTAAAAGTTCGACTTTTAGTTTAACGTAAAACCCACTAGTTTGGCGAACATCCCCCGGACTAACATGGAAGCTCCCAGAACCTCGTTGGAAGACTTGCTTCCATTGACAGCGGCCTTCTGGGAGCTTCCATGTTAGTCTGTGTAACATCCCTTGGGCAAAAAGTTCGCCAAAGTTCACCTGTCCGTCTCTTTTTGCCGACCTGGGGCCCCCCGGCGCCCGCCCGAAGCGCGTGCCCAGCTGCTTCTTGTCCCTCAGCAGCTGCAGGGCGAAGGCCTCGGAGCTCCGACGGTTGCGGCCCGAAAAAACAAGCGCGAGGCTTTTCTGGGTGCTCCGGATTTGAAAAATTCCTGGATCCCCAGTTGCATCTTCATGTTCCAGCTACTTTTACCAAATTATGGGCTACTAGTGGGTAAAGTGGCTGGAAAGAAGTGGCTACTTGGGGATCCAGGTTCGGAAACCCAACCACTAAACCAAGTAAACCAACGAAACAGCTTACCAGCTAAACCGCTCAAAAACCTAAATCCTCCGGGTTTAAGAGGATAGAATAAGTTGGTACCCGACTTGTTTGTCAGTTGTGTCTATTTTACTAGGGGAACCGAATCTCCCAACCCAGAAAGGGGAGCGAAGGGCACCTAGCTGGGGGACCTGGTTTTGGTCCTGTCGGGGCCCGAGGTTTGCTGTCAATAAAATCCAACTCCAATCCTCAGCCCTGATGGGTGAAATCCATTGTGGACCACCTGAGAAACCCTGGTTTCTGATTCGATTTCCCGACGCGAATGCCAATGAATGTTTATGGCCCATGGCTTCAAACATGGTTTCAACCATGGCAAATCCAAGTGGTGCGAGACTTTTTTTTCGGATTTCGCAACCACCCACTTGGTCTTCATTTTAAAAACAATGCAAAGCCACTAGTTTCTACGTAAAACAAAAACCAATGCGCAGGCATTTCTACTGCAAAGGCCACAGGCTTCGCCGGGTCTCCGAAAAAAATCGGCGGAAGCCTCGCTTGGCCGAGGGAAAGGCCGAGGAGGAGAGCGCCATGCCGCCCCCCAGGAGCACCAGGGCCCCGGGGTTCAGCTGGGGCAGCAGGAAGGACCTGAGACGCGACCCTTTTTGTCCCCGTTTTTCCCCATCGGGGCCGGGATCGAAAACCACCAGATGCGATCCCCTTCGGCCGCTTCCACCAAAAATGGATGAAATCCAGAAATCGCACCACGAAGGGAAGCCAGGGTTGGAACTTCATTGGTTCTTGGCATTGACCGGGGTAGCATCATTCCATCTACCGGAGCAAGTGCAAGTAGATGCCAAACAATTGATTTAGGTGGGTGATAAGGCGGTGACTCAGCCGAAATGGATGAGTCCAAAATATCACCAGGACAAAAAGTTTCCAAAAGTTGGACTTCTTGCGGATGGGTGGGCGAAATCCATACAAATCTCGCACCACGAAAGGAAACCATGGTTGAAACTGTGGACCCTTGGTATTTACAGGGGGCTAAGGGGATGACTCAGCCGAATTGGCACAATTTGACTTTCACCCAACTGCAGAGAACGGAAAATCCTTTAAAGTTCCATTCAGGCACTTGGCGCCCTGAACGCTCAACTCGGATCCTCCCAACTGGTGATGCCAAGTGTTCACACGAAGTGTGATTGTCCCAGGACTTTGCCAATGGCGAAGCCTCAAAACCACCAGCACATCCCAAGACTCGCTTTTCGCTTGTCCACCTCACTGGAAGATGCAGAAGCCCCACCAACAAAGCACCACCAAAGCCCGCCTCCCGTCGCATCCCGTGGCCAAACCACGCATCCCCTACCAACGGCTGGAGCCCGCTCAGCCTTCCTGACCGAAGGCTAAGAGCTACAAGCAAACTGCAGGTTTGCAATTGGGGGTCTTCACCGGGCCGCGTGTTCAAGCTGGTAACACACAGCATTGGCCTTGGCAGGGCAGCAGTCCGAAGCACCGAAAATTGCTGGCTGACGGTCTGCCCCTTATCTCCTCTAGCAATGAATAATCGCGCATCCTGACACCAAAGTACAGTAAACTGACAACCGGCCAGACAGAATGATGGCAGAATATTTTCCAAGTTGAGTATTCTGCAGGATTAAAAAAGGGCATGGTTCCGCAAGAGTTGCATCCCAAGCACCAGCTCACCCCCCAAAAACTGACACCGCCCCTCGAGGCACTGGCGACAGGAAGGCGATCAACCCACCCGTGATAAAGAACTGGGCCTCGGCTGCAGGCCAAACAGGGCCTTACACTCGGGTCTCGGCCTCGCCCTCTAAGCAAGCAGCTGATGAAACAGGCTTCAAACAGGTTTCAAAGCGAGGCTCTGCCACCTACAGCTCCAACCGCAAACCGATCGGCCAAGTACACCAGGCCTTGGTGGCCATGGATTGGCCAAGGCAGCAAACAACGCGTCATGCTACAGCAGCCATACTCATGCCTTGGATCCTCAATCCCCGCCAGCTGGATTTTGCTGGGCCCTCAGCGAGCGCTGATCAGTAGTTACCACCACTGCAGGAGAGTTCAGGAAAAAAATTGGGGCGAGTAACCCAAACGAAGTGCAACCCAAAGGAACTTTAGCATGAAACATGCCAAAGGAACTCTTACCGTGAGTTAGTCCCACATGCAAAAACACCGTCGCTCGCACAGTCGCTCTCCAGGCGCGAGCTCTGAGACAAGAAGAATCCGTACAGGTCGGGGCCCCATGTCAACATCAAGAGCGGGCCAAGGAAACTGGGCACCCGGCCATGCCCAGGCCGAAGACCTGACAAGTCAGGATGCCTAAGCCAACCCAGGTGAGTCTTTGGTGGGGATTTCCCTACCAAAAGGGAAGTTCATGGGAAAAAACGCGGGTTAAGGGGCATGAATGTGTATGAATTTTGGTTGGGGATGTGGGCAGGTGCAATGTTGATGTACACCTTGTTGGAGGGAACGTAGGGAGAACAAAAAAAAACAGTCCGGATTATTGCAAGTAAACCTAAGCAAACTCGACCAGGTTCCTGGTCTCCTTACTTGCAAAATGAGCCATATTCAAAAATCAAAACCTGGTATTAAAATGGTCTACCGATCCTTTCTTCTGGGGTTATCCCTAATTTTCGTGCTTGGGATTATTTCTCATATTCCCTAACCAAGCTTCACCTCGGGTTTGATTGCTCCCACTATAGATTCAAGGGTTACCGGTTTGGGCCCAAAAGGAAACAACAAACCGTCCAAGTGCGCTGCTCGCACATTTTCACGCTTGAACAGCCACACTGCGGATGCAATGGATGTAAAACCCCATACTGACCGATCAAATTCTTCACCCCCCTCTGCGTGTTAAAGGGGCCTTTCACAAAGCAGCCAAACAGTAACACAACAGAGGGAGAAGGTCAGGGGAACCATTGTAACATGCAAACCATGACAGTTGCGCTTTTAGCGCCACTGCCACGTAGAGTAGTTTCCGCTACTGTTGTCCCATCCGCTCCATCCGGACCAATTCTGCCAGCTGCCTTGGCTCCAAAGCTCACCCTCGCGGGCGGCGGGAGCACGTGTGTCGGCATAGCGAGCGGCATTGCGAGCGAGGTGCTTGCTGCTCTCGTTCCTCGAAAATTCGATCGAGTTACGAGCATAACGCTCATTCTGGCTGAAAATCCAGTCCATCTCGTTGCGGAGGTTGTCCAACGTGTTGCTTCGCAGATGGATGATGCCATTCCAACAACCAATGCTGCGAGGCTTGTCTTGCTCAAAGACCACGTTGATAAAAGCTCTTGGGCTGTAAGGCATCCCTTGGAACATAATGATCCAGCGAGAGGAAAGCGCATCTTGAAGTTCGTTGGGCAAGAACTCCAACTCCGTCTTGATATACGCGAGCCTTGCGATTCGCGACTCCGAAGTTGATCCAAGGCCAACTCCCAGAGTGCGCTGGGCGACTGCTTTGGAGCAGCCAAGACGAGATTTGCACTCAACTCCATGCGGAGCATGTCCGCCTCCCGACGGCCCACCTCAAGCATACGAACCCTGTATTGAAGGTCGAGTTCATAGCGATCAAGCAGAGAGTGGTAGCCGTTCTTCAGGGCGGACTTGTGCTTCTTCCGGGCCTCCTGAATAACAGCACTGTCCGGGGAGTTCAAGCCACGAATGATGCTGCTACGATCCTCCTCGCGGAGGTCAAATGTTCCCACGGATGCCAGGACCTGAGCTGTGACATGGGTGCTGAGGCCCATCTTCTTCAGCAAATTGGAACGCTGCACAATGTAATTCTTTTGCTGCTCTTTCAGCAGGCGAGGATTGAGGGGAGACAACTGCCCACATGATGAGCAGTGGACCTGCCCCTCGAACACACTGTTGTTGCAAACCGGGCACGTGGCGACATTCAGCTCAACGTTCTCCATTGGGTTGAAAGTCTTCTGTCTCTTCGCTTCCCCTTGCGGGGCGCGAGGAGACGCCACATTTGTGCGGGTTGTAGCAATACGTTCCAGCGCTGTAGAGCGATCATCAACCACGGCTTGGTCGCGCTTCATCCCCTGGGGCTCATCCTCAGTCGCCTCAGCTGGTGCACCTGCATCCGATTGCTCGGAGCGAGTGTACCACACATCGCCATTTGTAGCGTCCAATACAGAAATAATCGCGTAGTTGGGCGCCTTGTCGCGCGTAAGGACGCCATCGCTTTCCGTCTTGAAAAAGCAAAGCCCTGCGCGAATGGCCATCCTGAGGTCGATCTGAATCTCCAGGGGTTTGTTCGCACGTACACCTGAGATGTAATTTTCATTCGTGCTCGGAATGTCAGCGAAGAAAACGTGAGGTCTGCCTGTCTCGTGCTGGTCCCCTCCTCCTGGAAGCAGTCCGTTTCGCATGATGTTGGCGAAGTTCCGCTTATCGGTGCGGTGATAAAGCACCGTAGGAGGGTTGCTGCAGACGTTCCAGCCAGACCAGCGCCCGAGGTCAGTCCCCGGGTTCACGTACCACTCCTTCGCGATGCCGGAGTCGTCGATCTGGAGCCAGTCCTCATGGCCTTGAGAGGCCTTCAGCTTGAAAAGCCAATGAGAACATGGGACGTCTCCGCACCGGCTTGCGTCCGGGCAACCAAGCGCAATGAACCTCTGCTTTTTGTCCAGCTTGAAGATGTCCATGATATTCTGAATATTCCATGGAATGGGATGTCGCAGCTCCTTGCGAAGCGCGAGTCCCAGGTCTTCGAGGTCCATGTAGCCGTCCTCATCCATCACGTACCCGCATCCTTCTGTTCCGCGACCTCGGAGGATCTTGGAGATGCACGTCAGGGAACTGTGGTACTCGTTACTGATTCTCCTGACGGAAGGGTCGTAATCGAAAGAGGGCTGCTTGATGATGTCGAGTCTCTTGGGGCCCTCACCGTAGTCGACATACTTCACGCCATCATGAATGCTATACACCCAGCAGTCATAGTGGCCCCCAGTCACGCTCCTCCCGTAGGAGTCGAGTGGTACCGGCCTGCTCGCCGCCTCGTCCCTCTGTGCCACCGCAGCCGCTTTTGCACCGGCTTGCGCCGGGCGAACACTTTCGGAAACATCTGCACCGGAAGGCTCACCAGAAGTTGCAAACTCGGCTGGGTTGACGGGGGCGAAATCGAGAGGCTGCCGGATTTCCACTTCTTCACGGGTGAAAGGGAGCCCGATCATCTCTGACAAAGAAACACCGCACTTCGTTAGCGTCTCCTTGCAGTACGCGAGAACCTCAACGTTGACTGTGCAATCTTCTTGGTGGCGCACCTCGAGCACATCGATCGGACGCATGGTGCAATCATGCGAACGTGTCAGCTCGGCTACGCTGCCCATTGCGGGGCGCAAGATAGAAAGCATATACAACATGTGATGGGTTCCGCGCATGAACTGGACGGTCTTCGTGATGTTGTCGTCACTGAAGCACATATGATACCTGTCCAGCAAATCGATGGTCTCAACAAAGGGTGTAGCATCTACGTACACAAACATATGATTGGGGTCGCCGATGATGTAATCCCGGACTTCCGTCATGAAACGGTCCCAAATCATAGAGAAGCCGTAGAGATAGCTTTTCGCGCCGGTCATGACTCCAAGGCATGCGCAGCCCTTGCGGGCCGCGAAGTCCCTGGTCCAAGCCAGGTGCCGTTTGGAGTCAGCAAGAAGTTGACCGAACTCGCCGGTGGGGGCATCAAATGGATATGTACCAGTGGGCTCGAGGCCGTCCTTCCCAACGAGCTCGTTGCCATTCCAGTAAATCATCGGAATGATGGTGGCTGCTGGGTAGTCGGTACGCACCTCGTCGATGAGGGCGGCCAACCGCTTGCACAGCTGTTGTAAGCCCTTGCCCCAAAGCATTTCTGACCTCCATGCACCGACACGCGCCGGGCGAGAAGCATCCAAACGCTCCGCAAAGTCATACTTGCGAAGCTTTCGCTTCTTGCCCGAAACCATGGACAGTCCTGAATCAGCGACAGTCACATAGATAAGGAGGTCGCGATCTGGTACACGTGGGGCCTGCAAAACCTTCAAGTAAGGTTCGCTTATAGTTAACAGGGGTGTAAGCAATTGCAGGTAGTGCGGTTGGTCCTGCACCCATGTATGAATAAGCGACTGTGCAGAGGTCGTCTCCAGGAGGCCCTTGACCGTGGCGGCGAGGTTAGCGTCGTATTTGCCGTTCGTGCATACCGATGTGGTAGCGACATTCTCCGTCCACCTCCTCCATGCCGGATCGCAATCCCTCGCGGGATGCGCCATAGCCGTTGCGCTGCTCATTGCGAAAAGGATGCAGCACAATCACTCGAAAGCAACGGCTGCATGGTGGCATGTTCGGAAAATGCATTGTGAACGGCATCAGTGTAAACGTACGTGTATCCCTCGGCTTCCTTCAAATGAGTGCCACGGCTTTCATCATGCTCGTGAGAACCATCACACTTGAAGTACTCAACAACGGAAATAGTGGGCATATTACTGGCAACGACCCATTGCTTTTTCATTGGTTTTCCATTTCTCCCTTTAATGCCGATTTTGCAACCATGGAATTCATACTTGTTCATCTTGTACTTAGTCAAGAAACTCCATAGTTCGGGCCATTTCCAATAACGACACGCCTTGGGGAGTTCGAAGGCAACTCTAACGTCATCAGAATAGACATCATTGAGAATGCGGTTGAACCCTCTCAACAGTGATCGGAATTGCTTGATGTGGCCCTCAATCTTGGCGGCACCTTTGGGAGTTTGCTGGTTGACATAACCCCACGGGCATCCTCCAGTGCATGGCAGCGAGACATAGAACATTATTGCACCCTTAGGATTCTTGCTCCTGAATTCGGCAATTTCATGGACTAACCACTGCCTGCACGTATCAGAGCACCCGTCCTCGGTTTCAGTTACCCGAATGACACGGCAACCTTTTGAAGAGTCTCTTGATTCGCCCAACCGTGAGGTCGTCGAACAACAGAATTCAATAAGGAGGCGCTTGGGCTGAACGCTGCATAACGCAGCGATCTGCCCCTCCTGATCACTAACTTCTCCGGCCTTGGCGCATGGGGAGAGCAGCAAACTGGTGGCACAGGCTCGCGCCTGGCGGTTGGGGGAGATACCGATCAGCTCAAGTGCATGGTGCCACACTGGGGTGCTGTCAAACGCCTTGGTCAAGATGTCTGCAGCTTGGAGGGTAGTGTCAACATTGATTAATTCGAACTGCCTATTCACGAATTGCTCCTGGAGCCATCTAAAGCTAATGCGTTGGGTCCTATCCGTGTGCCTTAGCTTCTGTGAGTGTCCCTGCTGCAGGATAGTGATCGTGGCCTGATTGTCTTCCATCAGCTTGACTTTCCACTTATCACTGAGATGCACAGTTAGGGCATTGATGTTTGCTACACTTGTACCCGCATCAACATTTCCGTACCGAATTTCATCCAACTCGGGATCAATGCGAGCAACAATGCCATCGGGCACATCAAGGGAGGCTTTTCCAGCCTTTTGAGCATACCCATGTGCTTCTTTCCCAAACAGGCTGAGCTGACAGAAAAGCGACAGCGTCGGCAATCCCTCTGCTCTGAGCGCCTGGTTCGCAGCGATGACCTCGGCTTCAGTCGAGCTTGTTGCGGTCGCTGTCTGCTTCCTACTGAAGGCATTCAGTGGGTAGTACGTGTTTGGCCCTACCAGTATCATGGTGCAACCAGTTGTACTATGCGAGTCGCATTCGCCTGCCCAATCCGCGTCAGCGAACAACCACAGCCTACAATCAGAGAACTTATCCCCGATAAAACCTCGCATCTTAAGGTCCTTCGAACAGTGTATGTAAGACACAAGCCGATGTAGAGCGCTGTCGCACTCAGTGGACCATTTACTCACGCGCGAGGCAAGGCTTTGCGTGGCTCTTAGCAGGTCATACCTAGCCATGCGGGCTGCGAATAGAATCTTCATTAGTACCTTTGCAGCGATAGGTTGCAACCTGCCCTTTGGCTCCTCTTCATTTACGACAGGTCTCGCGACCTTCGAACCAATGAATGGAGTGCTAACCTTACTCAACGAGGAAACGTTCACCTTGGCAAGTTCGCAATATGCGTCAACGCATGACTTGAGGAAATCAGACATGTCGTACTCAACAATGTTGACTTCTTTAGTCATACAACCAACAGGTTTATCGCATATCGTTTCGGGTCCTTTGAACTTCGAAACCTTGACTTCTTTCTTTGCCGCGGTTTTGTCTCTCATAGATCCAGGCTTTGAGGGCAGTGCACATTGCAAAGCTGCTTCCTGATTTTCACCGTAGGAAAACACTGTACGTCCGGTCCCCCACGCGGTGTCCGCAGAAATGCGATCACTTGCATGACGCGACCACTCATCGCAAATTGGACTTGCTTTGGAATGATCTTTGATTGTCACACGCTGGGGGTCGAGGCTACAAGCGAATGCACTCGTTTGCTCCTTAGGACGGAAAAGACACTTTCTGGGCTGCAAGTGATAGCGTGTCCACGTTTTCGTGTTCTCATCATGCTCCCAGTAGTCCTCAGTTCTTCTTTGAGAGCAAACACCCGCGTGTTGCGCAGAACCCTCAAACACGTGATTGAAAGGGTGTTCCTCTTTAGACAATCTGACATTGTTCTTTTCGATGTGATGACACCCAAAGTATCTGCCGAATGGCTCGGGCGCGTCGATCTCGACAACCTTCCCGATCAGTTCCCATCCCTTATCAAGGCTACCGGCGGGTCCTGCAAGCTTGAAGTCATCAACATATACGACGAGCAGCAGGTCGAGTTCCGGGTGATGGAAAATGGATGTCCATATTTCGGGCAACACTCTGACAAAGCCTTGCTTGCTGAGGGCATCTTCAAGGTGCTTTTCCCAAAGCCCCCCTGAATCTGGATGTCCGTACAAGGCTAACACAAGTGGAACAATGGGGTCAATGTATTGTTTGCTCCAATGGCTGGGCCATCTGTTCTTAGGCAATCTAAGCCATGTGGGAACGCCTTTGAACAGAGCTTGGATGTAGGCTTGCTTCGCATCGGCTTGCGCCTTGCGGTAGCCGGGCTGCGACCCGAAAGCGTCGAGGATTTTGGCTGCCTCCATTGACGCTGGGCTGGACCCTAGCTCCGCAAATAATGCTGCAACAGAGTTTTCATCATAAACATTGTTCCCTTGGAAAACGGTCCTTCCTTTGAATTTCTTGTTGGGATCATCATCGGGAAGCTCGCTACCCTTCTCGTAACAAGCCTCGAAAATCCTTCCAATGTGGACCTTTTCCCCTTTGTTCTGGGCTTCTCTGATGACGCGCCTACACTCATTTACTCTGAACTCATCCCAAGTGCCTTTCTTTCGAAGGTTTTCCCATTCCTTGTCAAGGGCAGCTTGGGCCTTTGGCGTATTGGCTACTTCGGCTTTTGGCACAAGCCTTGCAACGACTGCACTGAACAGTTCAAGAGCAACATCAAATTCAACTTTCTTGATTCGCTCTTTGACCAACTCGCGCAATTGCGGGCGATGCGGCTCCTTTGATGACTTGTCCCGTTCCGGAAGAACGGACATCGCAGGCGCGTGCCGGATCACAGGCAATGTCGGCTCGCCCTCGCGGGCGGCGCTGGTCGGCTTTGCACTCGATGCGGCTTCGGGGTGCTCGGATCTGGCCTCCGATGAGACTGCTGTCTCGAGCACGGCCTTCTTGGCATCTGCACGGAGCTGATCTTCATACTGCTGGGTTAGGGCCTTTCGGTCCTGGCTGCCGAGCATGACCCACATGTCGGACGGGATATCGGGAGGCCTTTTGGATCCGGCCTTCCTACGGACGAGCCGAACCCCATCCCACACATAGCCATCGGGTACTGGTGACCCATCAGGCATTATGCTCGGGTCGAATGCACCGCCTTTGTCAGGCACGACAGGCTTAGTCTTCGCTTCGGATTTCTCCGATGCGGCGGGTTCCTCGATGTGGGCTTGCCCACGCTCCAACGGCACAGGATCATCTCGTGTCCTAGCACTGGCAACAGGTGGATGAGATGCAGGGTCTCCTCACGAACCGATGTCTTCCATTCACGGTACGTTTCAGGAGTTGGCATCTCCTTGAATCGCAACGTCTCGCTTTCGCGGGTTCTGGGCTTTTCATCGTTCGTTTGGCCTTTTACTAATTTCATCAACATCTTGGCGAATGCTTCATTGCCGAGGTTAGGCCCGAGGCCGTCACCTTCGTCTTCATCACCATCGCCATCGCCATCATCATCAGGTGGCGGACCGCCAGGAGGCTTACCACCCTGCTTGCGGTCAGTTGACATTGGCCCCTGAGAGAACTGCAGGGGTGGGACCGGTGCGCTAGTTTTCACCGGGGATCGGCTGCTACCTGATGGCTTTTCAGCTGGTCCTTGCGGATCGCGAGCATCCGCGGGCAGTGCTTCGCATTCGGCAGTTGGAATCACGCTAGGGGTATATTCATCCCCGTAACCGTCATAGGTAACAAGCGACCTCAACTTTTCCTTTGCATATTGAAACGGATGGGTCAACGGGTCCAACATTGACCTTTGGGACCGAGCTGACTTCATGTCGTCGGTCATCAACTCTGGTGAATCCTCTCGGGTATCACCTACCCCTTTGGGCTTCGATCCGTCCTCGCGGAGGTCGTGTTGCTTCTGATACTTCTTCAGCTCGTCGAGCTCGTCCTGCAGAAGCCCGTTTTGGTGGGCCATCATGTCAACCGTCCTGGCGTGTGTCGCTTCAACACGGGCTGTGTCATCGGCATGCTTGGCAGCTTGCTCATGGAGGAGCTGCTGGGCTTCCGCCAGGGTGGATTCGATGGCTTGCCTAAACTCAGTTGTTTTGTGTCCCATTTCCGCTTCATGCAATGCTTGGGCATTTTCCTCACACACTTGGCTTATCCTAGCTTCAGCGAAGTTCACTTCTTGAATGAACTCATCGCTCACTCGCTGTTCGTATTCACGAATTCTATGCGACTGGGCTTGCACACATTCAGCGTAGTGTGCATGCAGCTGATTCTGTGCGGCACGGAGCTCCTCACGGTTTTCCGCTTGCAAATGCGTAACAGCTGCTTGATGCAGGGCTTCGGCTTCAGACCTAATGGCTGCATCATTCCCAAAAGCAAAGATTGCGGTATTGTACAGTTGAAGGGAATTCATCAGGGTGCGGTTGTATTGCGCATTAGCGCTTGATGCGAACATTCGCACACCGCCGCCGGTGGCGTTGCCGGAGCTAGCTCCGGCAGCATCCACAGGCATGCTGGATCCATCAACTGGCACAAGGGAACCGTCCATTGCTTAGAGCTAGGGGCCTACGGCTGATAACCTATAGATTCAAGGGTTACCGGTTTGGGGCCCAAAAGGAAACAACAAACCGTCCAAGTGCGCTGCTCGCACATTTTCACGCTTGAACAGCCACACTGCGGATGCAATGGATGTAAAACCCCATACTGACCGATCAAATTCTTCACCCACGGGGGGCACCCACTTACCCCGGAAGGCCCCGGCATCTGCCCGCATGGAGATGACCTTCTTCACCGACAGCTCCAAGCCGGTCCTTGGCTTCGGCGCGGGAGCTACTCACTACGGGGACCTCTCTCCACTAGCCCTCCTAAAAGACTATTTCCACGGGGAAAACCTGTTCAGGTTGTATCACATGTGTTCTCTCTCTCTCTCTCTCGCTGCTGTTGCGTCCAGAGGGTCTTGACTCAGCAAGGCAACACAGGTGTTGTAAGAATGCATTATCTGCACACGAACGCCCTCATCTTCTCATCTTTGCCTACCATACTTCGCACGTTGGCTTGGGCTCCAGATGCCAAACCTTGCCCCCCAACTACCCCCACTCCCCCCACCCCCCCACCCCCCCACTCCCCCCACTCCCAGTGGGACAAGGCCCGGCGGCTCGAAGAGGAAGAAGATGATCCCGAAATCTGCGATTCGGTGGCTCACATCCTGCGAGGGCTGAGGCCCCTACGCGCGATATGACTGCCGGGGGTCAGACAGCAATGAGGGTTACTTACGCAAACGTGAGCCCGCAGGTAGCACAAAGTCAGCAGCGAGAACCCGGGACCAGTCATTCGGTCTCATAAGCCATCTCCGCAAACCACGCTCCCAAATCGGAGCAGGCGGGCGCCAGGGGCCCCTAGGGCCCCGGCCACATGCTGGATCACATTGACACCCGCAGGGCCCAAGATCAAACCGATGAGCAGGAAGCCGATGATCGGCCTCGGGTAGTCGTGTCCGGCCAAGGTCTTGCTGACCGCTTGCGAGAGTAGCCGGCCTCAAAAAGAATTTGGCCCAACCGTGAATGGATATGCGTTCCAAACAACCTCTAATCATGAGCTGGGCAAAACCAGAAATGACTCAAAATCATGCAAAGAACCGCGAAGAGTCATGCTAGCCACTGCTGACAATCTGCAGGCCAAAGAAGTACCGCCGGAAGGGCCCAAATGGTGGCGGTATGTTCATTGCGGTTGGAAGCGAAACCTCCGACTTTAGTGTTTCCATATTTTGTGGACACCCGTATGGAAATGTCGCAGGTACAGGGATCTACCCCCTGGCACACGACCATGGTCAAACTCAGTTTGCTGGGCCAGGTTTGCAACGAAGAGGATAAAAAGCACTCACAAAGGGCACTCTTGATTCGGCTCTTGCTCTTCGCCACTGCGCTCTATGGCTAACATTTCACTTCATGGCTAACCGCATGGAAACGCCCCGCTTCTTGGGATGGCCACACATTGCACGTCAATAGGGAAGTCGTAATGTGCGATGAGCTGCCATGCTTGCAAAAAAAAGCCAAACGGATACTGACATTGGCCGGGGCGTTGAAGTCTACGGCGATGCCTCGAAGCCCTCGTTCGGCAACCTGTTTGCTAGGCTGGAATTGGGACCCCCGAATTGTGTTTATTGTTTTTTGGGCTTTTTTTTTTTCCGCCTGGTTAGTGGAAAACAAAGGGACCCCAACAAAGCAAAAAAAAAGGGGGGAGCTACTTCTGGGGAAGCTTGGAGCCCCTGCAATCTTTTGACGCTGGCGCCGACCTCTTGATAGGCTTTCGGTAAACTCATCGGGGCTTCCTCTTCAGAGGGAGTTCTAGCGGGCGCCCGGACGCTGGTTGGTGGGGCAGCGAAGACACGGTCGCTTCTTCTCCCTGACTCAAGCCCTCCGTGCTTGACGCCGGGTGGGCTAGCGCCATCGCTTTTCTCATCTCCCCGCAATGTCTTGCCACCATCCGCGCGAAGCAGTGCGGCAGGAACTTGCCACGGATGTCTAAGACGCGGGCGCGGGACACGCTACCTCTCCACAAGATCATCAAGGGAAATTACGTTTCAACCCCCCTGGGCGCACGCTCGTACGCTTCCCTTGGCACCTTGACAAGGCCGACATAACACCATCACTTGTATGACACTCCGGGCAATCGTAGCTGGGCATACTAATGTCAGTGCACGATGAGCAAACCCGCGATGGAAGGTTTCTCCTTTTCCCTCTCAGATTCCCAGCACTGCTAAGGTACAGGGCGAACAAAAGAACAATCATGGTTTGGTCCCCCGCATCAATTCTGGCTTGACATCTTCTCATCCCAGTATTACAGAAAAAGACTTCTTTGGAGCAGGCAACGTATGCACACACTGGTAAATCTTACAAGTCGAAATGCTGGAGGCTTGCAAATGGAGCTGTCCAATTGAACATGCCGTTCGAAGTGTATTGGAGGGTGTGCCGCTTAGTCAGCGGGGCGTCCCAGGAGCCAGGAGTCGCGGTCGGCTCGGTGGCACTACCATGTTAAGACGCGCTGACGGGATGCAAAGCAGCAACCTTTGCCCCCCTTTCGTGAAAGGCCATGCAGTGGAAATGGTTTGTTCTTGGGCAGATGCCAAAAAAATAACGAAAACGGTAGGAGTTCCGAGCATAGTAAGTCGCTGAAGCCCGTGAAAGGCCCCCAGATAAAACCTGACAGCCCACATCTGGCAACCTGTCCTTTGCAGCTGCCAGAGATGAGAAAGACAGACCTTTGTTGATATGGCTCATATTATAGCTCAGTATGAAATATTGCCACTTGCACCAAACAGTCCCGAAAGAGAGGGTGTATGTTTTGGGTGACTTAAACTTGAGTTGCATTTTGGGTGTTGTGATGTTGTTTGCACGGATGGTTTGCCCCGTGGTTTCTTCAGTTCAAAGAGATGTGGGCACCAAGCAAAAGCAACAAACATGTTCGCAAGTCCGCACCATTTAGATGTCTGGGTATGTCTTGTCTCAGAGGATCCACAATTGGTGGTTCTCCTTTTGGATTTCCTTTAAAAGACGTAGCAACTCAAAAAAGCACTCCCTTTCAAAGCCTCTTGAGAACCATTGCCTTTGCCAAAGAAAGGCTGTCTGCAACCTACCAAACCCTGCTTGCCCACTTGCTTCCCAGCGCCTCTGGGTCCCCAGTTCACACCAATGCACTAACAGAGGCCACTGAAACAGAAACTGGGGGCAACTAAGGCAGCTAAGAGGAGCCGGTTTGCCAAGCCGTCCAAGTACCCAAAAACAAAAACGGACTAATTTTAAAAGCATGTGTTAACATTGATTCAACTTTTGCTCACGGAGAAATTCGCAACAATTCTCCAATTTCATCTGACGTCCTTTGGCGGGTTTCAATATCTGGGGTCTGTGAGCTCTCAAGCACTCCCTGAACCTACGCTTGTTCGATGCATGTTCACATCCCGTGACTCGAGGTGTCGACCTGTGCTGCCCTACCTTTGGCAGTTGGCACGGCAAGTCGTCCGAGCATCGAAGGCGAACAGGGGCCGGACGTTGTGGCTACATGCTAACACCTCCAGCCTGATCTCGCCTTCGTTGCCAGATTGCAGGGGGATGGATGGGTACCGATGCGTGCAACTCTCAATAGCTGGAAAAATATCCGTTAGCAGACCCGGCAAACCTCGAGACCATCATCTTCGCCCATCTCTCTTGGCAACCCAGCAACAAGCCCTTAAACAGGGGCAACTATATTATGAAACCAGCCATGCCGTGGTTTTAAGCAACTCGCTGGGAAAAAAGGTCCGCCCGCACACGAGAACATCTGGGTACAAAAACCGCCTTTTGTTTTCCACTCATTTACACAGCCTTCATTAAAAGATGCTGAAAGCCCATTGATGGCCCATGAACGCCCTACGCCCTTGGCCGATGCTCGGAAAAAATATAAAAGTCTCTCTGGATGAACGGCGCGAGCCCATCCGGGCACGCCACATCGATTCATCGGGAGGCAGGCAAGGCAGGCCAAGTGGCCGAGTAGGCTTTCTTCCCAGTTGGAATGAGACCAGGACCCCGTTGGGAGGGTGTTCCAAGGGGCGCCATTGCCAACCCAAGAAAGCCCTTGCCATGTTGAGGGGTTGATGCACTGGACCTTTGAGTTGGACAACCGACGCATGAAATGTCCAAAAGCTGTGCAAAATGGTCGTGGCTCACTTTCCAAGTGCTCATTGCGGCAAGGCTTGATCGCAGCTTGGGGTAGGGGTCCTTGAGCTCTTGACTTGACAAATGCCAGACCTCAAACAATCCAAGTGTGACCCAAAAAACAGTTTTTGCCTTGAGAAGCCTTCCTCCAGCCCCGCCAGCCCCTTGGGCCCCTTGAACGCGCGCCTTGGCTTCGCCTCCCTCAGGCCTGGTACTCGCCCCAGAGCTTGTCGTCCCAGATGTCGCAGGGCTTCGGGGCAGGCGCGGCCTGGCTGTGGAAGCCCCAGGTTCCGCAAGTCCCAACTTCGGCAAGCAGGGGCAACTTGTTTCAACCTTGCCACACTTCTTTTCAACCCAATCCTTTTTTGCAACCTTGGTGCACTTCCTTTTGACCCTGCCACCTTCTTTTCTAACCTTGTCCCGTCTGCCTGGCAACCGGCAACACGGGGGAAATGCCCCGGATGCTCCATGGGAATGCTCATGGCAATTTTCAAGGCGGAGAAAAGGGAACAATTCTCTAGAACACCCCTTGTTCCTTGTGGATGGCGCTTCCCTTTGTTCGAAATACATCATGCTGCCCGCAGGTTCATTTGCCCACACTCCCCGCTTTCATGTGACGCTGCGCCAAACAAAACTTGTCCCATCTTGCCGAAAACAGTTCTGTGACCTACTTCCTGCCAAGCCAGCAGTGCCTGCTGGCCATTGCTGCACAGCAAACAAACAGGATGCTTACACAATGGGTCCCTGCTCATCTTAGCTTCGCCTTGGTTTCCTTCAAAGGCCGACCAAAATGCTGTACAAGTGCACAAGCTTGGCCCAAGTCCCGCCCACGCATCTGATCATGTAACTTACTCCAGCCCATAAACAAGTGGAAAAGTCTAGGTGGGACCCAGCACATGGCTCCTTCGATGGCAAGAACCAAAGTACAGAAGCAACAGACACTTATATGCGCCGGCCGCCAGCTTTTCTTCTGCATGCGCGAGGGACTTACGGATGTGCGCTTTCCAGGAAAGCCACGAAATCCGCTTTGGAGCGCCAAGCTGGCCGCCAAAAGGGGTGGGCTTCCTTGGTTAGCGATAGAAAGTTCCACACTGAATTTGAATATCATCCACGCGATTTCGAGTCCGCCAACCCTTTTTTGAGACTATTCCAACAACAACCCCCCCCCCCCGCCTCGACCCTCTCCCCAAACCAAACACAAACAGCACGGCCACAACATGTTGGGCCACGCCAAACGGCCCCAACAAGCTCGGGGAAGCCCCCGGCGCCTGGGCCCTCTCCCTGCGGGGCGTAGGCTGCACCGCGGGTGGGCGGACAGGCGCCACCTGGCAGGCCATCTGAAGCCTCTGAGACGAGATGGTCCTGGCCTCGTTGTCTTACCATCAAAGTCACCCCCGTTCAGTGGGGGGGTTAAAGGGAAACAACCGATTCCATTTGCTGACTTTTGATCACCCCCAGAAACCGTCTAAATAATGACACCAGTGGTCGGGAGAGCAAGATTCACCCAGAAATCAATTCGCGAATTGGGAAACTGCGAAGGGTGGACTTTGGCGGCAACCCCCCTGGAAAGGGAGCGCGGCTTGCCTGTAAGTTTAGCACAGCTTTGGGCTATTGGCGACGTCCCCCTTCAGGCAGCTTGGTTTCCCTCTCAAAGCCCGGATGCAGATTGCAACAGGCCCCGAAGGAAGCATCTGGACTCCTGTGCCGGCCATCTGATGTACAAAATCTTCAGCGCGCTCATGCCAGCCGGCAGCCCAAGAGATCCCAAGAGGCCAGCCAGCTGGGTGTCAGC